GTGAAATCAAATGTGCAGGTCTTTATTGTCCACATTGACGTCGTCAAGTTTTAGAAATAGCGTGTTCGAAAACATGCGCTGGTATTTATTGTATTGCAATTTTACCATCATAGTTAATTCAATAACTGAAGATTAGCTTTTTAAAATTTATCCCTTTAAAATGTTGTATTACATGTATTTCATTACATGATACCTTAGTGAAAAAGTCAACACAAAAATGCTTACGAATTATCAGAAGTTTTGCTGAGAAGAGAAATAACGGATTCAGCCTTTATATATATATATATATATATATATATATATATATATATATATATATATATATATATATATATATAGTGTTCGAAGTGTTTTAGGAGCGCGAGCATTGAAGATGCCAAGTGAGATTTTGGCGAAACGTCTGCAGGATTCCAGTCGGATGCAGGATTTGCAGGATTCCAGTCGGATGCAGGATTCCGGTCGGAGTTCAGCGAGCGAACGGATGATATCCCGGAATATAGTGTCATCACATTTTTCCATCCGTGAATCAATACGTGAGAATATATATATATATATATATATATATATATATATATATATATATATATATATATATATATATATATATATATATATATATATATATATATATATATATATATATATATATATATATATATATATACTTATACTTTCGCGACGACATTTTAATTTTTCCAGACTTGTACGAATGCCACCTAACGGCACTATGTGAATGTAAAAATTCCGCTCTGTATGCGCATCGAAAAATTCAAAAATAATTATTACTATAACTATTACAAAAGCAAACAACTTTATATCACAAAAAGGTATTTTCTTTTCGTTTCTGGACAAAGAACGAAAATTTTTTTTGTAGAGTTTTTTATTGTCAACATGCTGAGATCGGAAATCACTGTTTTCTTCTTTCATTCAATAATTCACTGTTATCGGGGATATTGGCGTTTTCAGAAATAGGGAAGTTTCTTTTAACGCTCCCTCTACAGCACATTTTTATTTTTTAAATTCTCTAACAAAAACGGCGGCCCGGAACAGGGCCCGAGACCGAAGCAACAGCCCGAATTCTTTTCGAAACAAAAACGGGGCTCCTACTAAATCATCCCCGGGGTCGTTTCACTCCCCCGTAATTTGCCTCGTTAAGTCTGGCAACGTAGCGCGGACGCGTGCCCGCCACGACGTGCCCCCCACAGTGCCGTGCGGCTATTTTTATTATACGCGCGTGAAAAGCGAACGTGTTTGGAATGCATTAAAAATGTCGCTTTCTGTTTGGACGTAAGATCGACGACCTGGATGAAAATAGAAACGCCGCCGTAGTCTGCGTGAAAAAAATTGACGGCCCGGCCGTTGACTTTGTTGTGGAAAATAATAAGTTGTTCGGACTTCTGTTGCCTTTATTTTGACTTATATCTCTCTGGTTTGAAAAAGAAGCAGACGAAGATAAACCCTAACATTTGGTTAAGATACGGTGGTGACGATTTCTGTCGCGTATCAGTAATATGGACCACTGGCATTTTTAAATGTTCTGGTCGTAGATATACTTTACAACCCATTGAGAGCCGAACAAGAATAGAGAAAAATTCCTAGTGTCCCATAAATCAGAATACCAGGATGCACAGTTTAAAATTATTTTAAAGTATACAGGGTAACAAAAAAAGCGTGACGAATAATAATAACATATTTAAAAAAAAATTGATAATAATAAGTCATGCCTAAATCTAATAGTTTTTCCAATATATTTTTTTAAATACTAGTTTTCACACTTGCAAAAACATGACGATAACGCCACTATTTTTGAAGGTAGATCAATCATATTTGATATAAGCATGATTTGAAGATGAGGTAAAAAAAATAGTAACGGAATTTGAATTAGACGCGACAGGGTGAATATATTTGGAGCACTTTAAATTGAAAAATCTTTTCTTTTTTCCTTCTTATATGGCACATTATTATTTTCTCTGCAAGATCTTACAAAAACCTATAATTTTAAAGAAACTTCCACGGGCTACTGTAATACTATTTACAAATCTTCTGGATTCCTCCTGCGTCGGTTGTTGTTGAATTGAGCTTGATGACGTTTCGCCAATCATCCTGTTGACATCTTCAGACTTTAACTGACTGATTTCTATAGATTTTTGGATTTCTCGTTTATTCTGGACACCTCGTAGCATCTAATTGAAATTCTGGTGCATATATCTTTTAAGTCATCTTCGAGTAACGCCAATATCAAATATGAGTAATCTTTATTTTTTTTTGTAATTGCGAAAACTACTATTGTTTAAGAGAAATTGAAACATTGAAAAAGCTATTAGGTTTAGATATTTATTATTATTATTAAAAAAAGTTGCAAAATTTTAGAAGGAAATCATTATTAGTTTTTCAAAGAAACTTCCATAGGCTACTGTAATATTTTTAATAAAACTTCTGCATTCCTCATGCTTCGGTTTTTGTTGAGTCGAACTAGCTAACGTTTCGCCAATCATCCTGTTGGCTTCTTCAGAACCTGACTGAAACTGGCTCTTATTTTACTCTGTGTCTGCTTTTATATTGAATTAGGGGCATAAACACCATCTCGGATGACTGATATCCATATTGGTGACAGGTAGAGATCTGAGTCGGGTTAAGATTGTTAGGTTGTTTATAGATTTCTATAGACTATCGGATTTTTGGTTGGTAGAAGAATTGATTACATGCAAGAATTTAAATTTTATCGAATAAAATCTTATGTCCGGTATCGCGATTGTGTTCGGCAACTGCTGATGAGTTTATTTGTCTTAGTCCGAAGGCTCTTTCATGTTCTTTGAACCTAGTTGATATTTTACATCCGGCCTCTCCAATGTATTCTTTGCCGCATATGCATGGAATGTTGTAAACTGCTGGCGTCTGGAACGGAATGTTATCGTTGACGGATCGAAGATGTTGAGAGATTTTTTGACAAGTGGTAAATCTGGTTTTGACGTTATATTTCTTTAGAACTTTTGATATGTGGTCAGTGATGTCAGTGACAAGTGTGTTATTGCTTTCAGCTTCATTGCTATGCTCTGAAGAAGCCAACAGGATGACTGGCGAAACGTTAGCTAGTTCGACTCAACAAAAACCGACACAGGAGGAATCCAGAAGTTTTATTAAAAGGAAATCATTATTATTATTAGTCACTATTTTTTGAGTCACTCTGTATACTTTAAAATTATTTTAAATTGTGCATCCTAACAATCCATACAACTTTTGGATTTATCATTTTCTCATATAACTTTTAAAATCAATGAGATAATTACTTCATGAATGAATCAGGTATTGAATTTCAAGAAAGATGCACCGACACGTCCACAATTGCGCATTTTTTGCAGCAAACAGAAAATATATAGAATGGGTCAAAATGTTCTTTTTTTTTAACGGTTCACTATTTATTTAAATTCATTTTCGAATTTTGTGTAAAATTTCAAGCGAATATTTAAAATCAAAAGTGTATAAGGAAAAACCACAAAATTTAGAAGATTTCAATTTTATAATTATATACGAAATCAGACAAATCGTCACTATCGCTATCTACTTTTTAACCCACCCTGTACATTTTTCTTGAAATCTAATACCTGATTTTAAACAAATTTCTTCCATATTTTATCCGTTTAACACAATAGTAACAGAAATTCATGTAAGAGAAAAGCACTACCGAGTACTCTAGTCAGACGTAACTAATCAGTTTTTATCGAGGAAAATAAGAAGACTTTTCAGCACTGCATCGGAGATCATATCACTATTAAATAATACACGACGGTAAAAATTGATGCGGCGCAGGCTGCATTGATATTTACGTGCAAAAGATAATGATTTCAATCAAGCTGATTCCTCTGACACTTCGTCAAGATCAATGGGCGATGAAACTGATCCATCTGACAATTTGTTAAGATCAGCAAGCTAACAAAACGTGCATAATAAACGTTTCATTAAAGATAATAAAAATAAAAAAGCCAGCATATCGTTGGGGAGGAGTGTCGTTGTTTGTCGAATTCCTTTGTCATATCGGGATGTTAAAACCACTTCACATATAATGCGTTGCAAATGGGGTTGATGAAATGAAAAATGAACTGTGATAATGTCTAAAAACAGTTCTTGAAGGAATAGTTTACTTCAGATTGACATAAATGAGAACTCATTAAAGTAATTTTTAATTGGTTAAGTAAATTTCAACTTTCAGCCATCTAAAGAAGTCGAACTTTTAAGTTATTCGGGTGACTCTTTGATTAAAATCGTCAATGTTAATATGTTATTATATATGAAGATGATAATGCTGGTATAAATTTTAGGATGAGTTCAGTAGTTTGATTCGGTTTTTCTGGGATTTTCCTAATCCTGAGCAACAAACGCTGGAAAATTATTGTAGTTTTCCCAGATAAGACCACCATAATGAAATCAATTGGAGCAGGTTTAAATTATAACTGAACTGTATTGATTGATTTTCTCAATAAACATTTGCAAACCATCTTGAACATAGCTATCCACGGAGGTAGCGAGCGGAATGTTTATTGAGGAAAAGACGAAATAATTCTAATACTCAATGCTTGAGGAAACAGCTTGAACGCTTTGTTTTTGTTTGCGTTTTGCTTTCCATTTATGTTGCAAGAAGTAAGTATTTTATTAAAATACAGAATGTTCTTCATCACTATAGCAAAAGAGTGAACAGTTTTCTGGTATTCAAAAAAAAATTTATCATTATTTTCTGTGGAACTATATACAATTGAATTATTAATATAACTAATTAGTTCTTTCCGGACTCTCTTTTTACTTTTGTAGTTGCTGGGGTTAACTTTTCTTTAAATTGGAATATTTTGGTAACCAAGATTATTTTAATATTTTCCAATGAGAGACCCTGGATAACGCATAATGTGAAGGGGGTGGAATAAGGTCCCCGCGGAACCTAGATAAGACCTACCACCACTGAACCACCATAATAGAGTCATAACTGGCGACCAAGGGCGCGCGACACTCACCTCCGCAAGCGTCCTTGAAATCCGGACAGCAGTCGCCGAGCTTGAGACAAGCGTGGTCGCAATAGCACGGCTTGTCGCTCAGGTCTTCGATGATGGCGTTCACGGGCGCTTTCTGGACGACGCAGGAAGAGTCGCGTCCCGTGCAACACAACTTCGCCTCACGGCAACTGCCGCCGACCGCGAGCCCCCAACACAAACCCTGGAGGAGGACCACCGACCACAATACGCGGGCTGCCATCGCGATTTAAGACGACGATACGCGGCCCGCTTGATGCATCCGCGACCACGTGCGAAGCGATATGACGTCACCGCCGCACCACAGCCAACTTGGAAGGCGCGCTGCGCTAGAATGGTCGGTGCGGCCGGGTAGAAAACACGGGAGGCTGGCGCGTGCCCGCGTTTGAAGGGACTCGAAGAAACGACGACGACGACCGGTGAACCTGTTTCTCGTCTCCCGCTTTTGTCCGTTTGTCACCGCGAGTTTTTAGCTCATTCCGAACGAGTTAGGATCGTTACAGAGAGGTATAGTATCAAATCTTGGGTACGATATTTAATAATAAACTCTTTTTGGTCTAGTCCGAGCATATCACTTTATTCGAAATAAAACAGACGGGTCTTGGGGTCAATGGTTTTATTCTTCATCAGTTAACTCCAAGAGGATTTAACTAGTTTTATTGTTAAAAGAGACAAAGTTGTAGGTATGCCTTGAAGTAGGTATACATTTATTTATATACCGTGCACGACAGTTATACAGTTTGACTGCCGCGATAAATTATGCACTAGTTCTTTTGCTATAGGCAAAGCTACGCTTGCCGTTGAATCAAACCGATCTTGATCATAATGGTTATCTTTTTTTTTTCATAAAACCATGGTAATGGTTTGCGGATAGTATTTACAATGTTTGATTAACTTAACGAGCAAAAATCATGGAAACGCAAAAACATTTTATCGATTTAACTCTTTGAAGACTAGTCTAAATAAATAATGTTTATGTTCCCAACAAATCAAACAAATCTTATGGTGAATCCTTTTTTATCTTAAGATGTGGGGTACAGTTATCCAAGACGGTCTTAACGGGTTTTATCGTCGCGATAAAATCTTTCCGCGCCTGGAATGTTAGTCTATGTTGTGTTTAATATATTTTATTATCGTATTCAAACAATAGTCTTTTTTTCTTCATATACGGTACCTTTGGCTTGGTTCGATAGGTTTTATCGCTGTAATAAACTCTTTTGCCGTTTGACAAGTTTCGGCTCCAAGTGGATTTAACAGGTTTTATTGTTAAAACAAATTATTTCCGCCCGTGGAACGTCAGTATTTATTGTATTTAACATGTTTTAATATCATAATCAAATCGGACTTTTACATTCCGATTCATTTAACTCTTTTGCTGCTAGTCTGAGCACGTAACATGCAAACAAGTATTGGGGTAAACGGTTTCTTTTTTCTTCATATGCTGTACCTACGACTTAGTTCAAGAGTATTATACAGGCTTTATTGTTGTAATAAACTCTTCTGGTGTGTGGAATATATGAGTACTTGTTGCATTTAAGGCATTTTATTGTTTTCCGGGAATTAGCAAACCTTGATTTAAATATTCCGATTGGTTTTATAATTTTAAGTCTAGTCAAAAGAAATAAGTCATCAGTTAAATTGTTTTAATCCTGGTTCAACATTATTTAACATGTTTTATTGTCAAAATACTCTTTCCGAGTGTAGAATATTACTATTTGTAGTATTTATCACTGTATATTATCGTAATAAAACCATCAAACCTTCCTTAAATATTCCCACTTATTTAACTGTTTTAGAACTAATAGGAGTAACTCACCATTTGTTCACAACAAATGAAACAGGTGTTGTGGTTAATCCCCTTTTATGTAGATATATTACAGTAATACCGGCCCAAGAGTTAGCTGGTTTTATTGTCGAAATACTTTTTACGCTTTTGCAATATTGATATTTGTCGTATGTATTCTCATAATAAAACTAGGAAACTCTAATTTAAACATTCGTTTAAATCGTTTTTGTATTCACAACACATCAAACAAATCTTTGTCTTTGTGGTTAATCAGTTTTTATCGCTAGAAAGTAATCCTGCTCCATGACGGTTAACAGGTTTTATTGTCGCAATAAAATCTTTCCGAGGAATGTAACTATTTGTTGTATTTAACAAATTTTATTATCGGAATCAAATCAAAAGGGGTTAATGGTCTCTTTTTCTTCATAGGCGCTACCTTAGAATTGGTTCCAAAGTATTTATTGTTAATTTTTCAAAGAAACTACTGCTGGCTACTGTAATACTATTTACAAAATTTCCTTCTGCGTCGTTTATTGAATCGAACTTGCTGACGTGTCGCCAATCATCCTATTGATTTCTTCAAAGCTTTACTGAAACTGCGATGATAACTGGCGAAACATCAGCAAGTTCAATTCGATAATTACCAACACAGAGGGAATACAGACATTTTGAAAATAGATTTTATCGTTGTAATAAAATCGATTGGCGTGAATACTTGCTGTACATTTTATTGTCTTAGTAAAATTAGCAAACATTGATTTAAATATTCTCATTTGGTTAGGACTAGTCAGAGTATATCACTTTCTTTATGAAAAGAAATAAGACTTCAGGTAAATAATTTTTCCTTCATATGCGGTACGGTAATCCAGGTTCAAGAGGATTTAACAAGTTTTATTGTCACAATACTTGTTCGGTGTGTGGAATATTAGCATTTTTCGTATTTATCACTGTTTATTATCGTAATAAAACCATCAAACCTTCCTTAAATATTCCCATTTATTTAACTCTTTTAAAACTAATTGGAGTAACTCAACATTTGTTCACAACAAATCAAACAGGTCTGGTGGTTAATCACCTTTTATATAGATATGTTACAATAATATTAGGCCAAAACTATTTGACAAGTGTTATTGTCGTAATAATCTCTTTTCACCTATTGAAAATTGGTATTTATCGTACGCAACGTATTATCGTAATAAAAGTAGCAAACTCTGATTTAAATATTCCAATTGATGTAACCCTTTTAGGACTAGTCCGAGTAGATAATTTTTGTGTCACACCAAATCAAACAAATCTTATGGTTAATCCCTTTTTAGTTCGAGCTGTAGTACAGTAATCCTGCTCTAAGGCGATTTAATAAGTTTTTTGTCGCGATAAAATCTTTCCGCATGTGGAATGTGAGTATTTGTTGCATAAAGCACATTTCATTGTATTAATAGAAGTAGCAAACCTTGATTTCAGGCCTTTCTCTACAGATCAAACCGAGCACGCCACTTTTTTTACGGATCAAAAGAAATCAGTCTTCAGTTAGTTAAATCATTTTTGACTCATATGCAAGTTCAAGAGGATTTAACAAGTTTTATTGTCAAAATAAACTCTTTCCAACTAACCAACCATTTATCGCTGTTTATTATCGTAATAAAAGCATCAGTATTAAACTCTTTTAGAACTAATCGGAGTAAATCACATAAGTCAAACACGTCTTGTTAAGTAAGTAATACATGACCAAGAGTCTTTAATAGGTTTTATTTTAGAGGTAAACTTTTTCCACGTGTGGAACATTAGTAATTTGTTGTATTTAGCTTTTTTCGTCATGGTTATATCCAAGTATTTCTGGCCTAATCCGAGTATATAATTTTTTTCGAAACAAACGAGACAACTTCTGATATTCAGAGTTCCGACTCCAAGTGGATTCTAAAATTCTTTCTGCGTGTGGAACGTTAATATGGGGCTAGACCTAGTCTGAGTACGTAACTGTTTTTCACGAAAAGGCAAACAAGTCTTGGGGTTAATGGTCCGTCGTTTCCTCTTCATCCCTGAGGCTTGGTTAAAGAGTATTTAACAGGTTTTGTTGTTGTAATAAAGGCTGTTGCTTGCTTGTTGTATTTAACATATTTTATTGTCTGCAATAAAAGTAGCAAACCTTGGTTTAAATATTCCAATTGGTTTAATTCTGTCAGGTCTAATCACAGCACATCACTTTCTCTACAGATCGAAACCGAGCGCAGCTTTTATTACGAATCAAAATAAGTCTCCAGTTACATCATTTTTGGTTAAAATGCGACGCAGTAATCAAGGTCCAAGAGGATTTAAGAGGTTTTATTGGCCTAAATAAACTCCGCCCGTGTGTGGAATTTTAGTATTTATCCTATATAAACCTTGACTTAATTACCCCTATTTATTAAACTCTTTTAGAACTAATCGTAGTAAATCACACCAATCAAGGTTTTGTGGTTAATCCTTTTTGTAAATAGTTAGGTCGCAGTAAGTAATACGGGGCCAAGAGAATTTAACAGGTTTTATTGTCAGGATAAAATCTTTTAGCTTGTGGAATATCAGTACTTGTTGCATTTAACACATTTTATTTTCTTAATAAAAGTATCAAACCTTGATTTAAATATTCCGATTGGTTTAATTCTTTCAGGCTTAGTCGCAGTACATTACTTTCTCTACGGATCAAGCATAGCACATCACTTTTTTACGAATAACAGGTTTTATTGTGTTCCGTGTGTGGAATGTTAGTATTCGTCGTACGTTTGTGACTTAAATATTCACATTAAACTCTTTTAGAACTAATCCAAGTAAATCACCTTTGTGGTTATAATAATAAAGGGTCACGAGTATTTCACAGATTTTATTGTAGCTATAAAATCTTTTCGCATCTTATTATCGTAATCAAAGCAGCAGACATTGATTCAACTCTATTTTGTCTCACTAGCAATACCGTATGTCGTTTCCAAACGGTCTTAACGGCTTTTATCGTCCGCGTAGTCTTTATCTGGTTTTATTGATGCAACAAAACAATCAGGTTTCGGAACAGAAAACAACCTCATACAAATTTAAACTTTATTCAACAGTTCGGGTAGAAAAAAAAATCCTAAATACGGACGACGGGACCTCCCAACTCAACGATACCACCTAAAAATCACAGACTGAGCCTAATCTAACGCGTATATAGTCGCGTCCACCACCCTCGACCCCGACAGGTCCACGTACGTGTCCAAGTTCATGTAACCCGACAGTTCGTCAAGCGGCATGATCATCTGGACGCCATCGATCGTCGCGACGGCTGACACCCGCCTCGCCGCCGCCGCCGACGACGTCGACTTCTTCGCCACGCCCTGTCTCCTGTCTAACACCACCGCTTTCCTCAACACGCTGCGCATCAGATTCTGGAATCTGCGCGTCTCCTCCGGCAACTCGATCACCTCTTGCTCCCTCTCAGGGTGAGCCTTGTTGTGATGCGCGTAAGCGTCTCCGACGCTCTTGAACCTGTCGTCGCACAACTTGCACAGGAACTTTTTCACGTGAATGCCCAAATGGCAACGCACGGTACTAGTGTGAGCGCCGCGGTACGTGTACGGACACAACGGACACCGATACATTTTCAACTTGCGCTCCGTCCCGCCACCGCCGCCGCCGCTGCTTTCGCTCCGCCCACCGACGCTGTCCATCGATGCGGTGTGATAGGCGAGCTGTTGGCCGCGATGCGCGTTCGACCAGTGCGTCTTGACTGACATCAGCTGCTGGAACTGGCATGGACACGACGCGCAACGGAAATTCCCGTACGGATTGTAGAGGGCGTTATCCGCGTGGGATTCGCTAAAGTGGATGCGGAGCTTCAGCTCCGGCATGACCTCGTGGCACAAGTTGCACGCGAGCGACGGCTGAGCCTCGTCGCTCCTGCTCAACGCGCGGTAAGCGCGCATCGACGCGGAATGCGCCTGCGTTGTATGCGCGACCATGTCCGATTCGGAGTTGTCGAAGTGGCCGCACACGCCGCACACGTACACCACGTCGTCGCTCGGCGCGTCCGACTTCGACTCGTCATCCGAGTCGATTTTGATGACGGCCGCGTCTCGCTGTGGACAAATTTAAATACTTATCATAAAAAAACACTAGATCAAAGAACAAAAAGTAGCAAAATAAAGGTACTAGTTGACGTATTCCCTCAATGCGGTATATATTCAACGTTCTGCTCTTTGAGGGCTAAATTTTAGGTTCAATTGCCTTCCTGCTGTGTTGCCAGAGTTTTGTGTATCTTGTGTCCGGCGCGGTATTGAAAAAAAAATTAAACCGTTTTATTGGCAAGACTATATAATACATAAATAATAGTAATTCTGCATTACACTTGCTCTGCGATTATAAAAAAAAATCGACTACACATTGACTGAACCTACCTGTGGTGTGTAGAGACGCATTAAATGAAAAATTATGTATTATAAGTATAAGAAAACTCTTTTTAAAAACTAAGACAAATAAAATATTTGAAGATTTAACTATAAATAATATCGTTCATTAGAGTTCATTACACCGAGAGGCAAACAGGAAGGAAATAGAGACAGAACCTCGACAGCCACAATTGGAGTCACAAAAAAGCAATGCAGCATAGCATACATGAGAAAAAAAGGAAAAAAACTGCATTTACTTTGCGGCATAACACTTTGTTCCAGAAAAGATAGTTCTTTATATTTCTTACATTGAATTTTTATGTTTAAATTGGTCTTGATAAACTCCTCATTATTTTTGTTGCCAGCAAAAAGCAAAACTTGTGTTTTTGCAGGATTGAGTTTTAAATTGTCATTTAAATCTGGATTAAAATTATATGGAAAGTGCCAATATTGAATAACGTGAATAGTTGGGAGTCGCCCACGTATTTCTGCATTTGAGCTGACTTAATGGTATCACCCATATCTGTGATGTAAATTGAAAATAATAAGGGACCTAGAATAGAACCGCGGATACTCTAACGTAATTTTATTAGACATGTTAACCGCGACGCAATGCATTCTATTGTTAAAAGTTCACAAAAAGTTTGATTACACTAGACGAAAATCCAAAATAGCGAAGCTTGACTAGCAATTAATTAATTATCAAACGCTTGGCTAAAGTCCAAGAAGGCGAGAACACTGTAAATGGGCTCTAACCTCGATGAAAGCCAGATTGATTACTGCGAATTATGCTGTTTGAAGGACAGGAAATAAAGACTTTCGTTTCTCCTGTACACAAGCAGTGCTCTTAAATGAATCTTGTCGTTTGCTTATTTGCGGAGTGTTACTGGATGAAATGGCGTTTCTTTACGTCTCACATTTCAATTTCAATTCAAACTCCTAGTCGTTCAGCAAGCACTAGTACAGTACTTTGTTATAGATTGAAACTAGTACTTCTTCAAAGTTTCTTTGCATGTCTTTCTTCTTAAGAAATATTGGACATAGAATGCAGCATATGTTCCAAAAACTTTAGAACTAATCCACCACAACCACCACGGCATCAAGAAATAGTATGAAAGTAGAATGGCGTGGAGCGACTAAAGGAATCAAAGGCAAGAAAGTGTGATTTCCAAGGAATGAAAGATAAAAGATCACAATTATGCAATAATGTAACTTGTTAAACAAGGTACTTTCTGGCTAACTGGTGTCATAAAAAAGTATTTTGCAACAGCATTTTTACCGTATAACCAGAGGACTGTGCTTCGGCATCTACTCGAGGCCGCTTGGGGGCGGACGGGCCGCTGCCGGTCTCGCCGCCCTTCGAGGCAGCCAAGCTTTTCTTGAAATTCTCGTCGCACATGTTGGTCGTGCGGCCGACCGTCAAGCTGACCGGATCGAGCGACAGTTTGAGGCCGGGATGCTCGGTCCTTTGATGGATGCGCAGTAGAGCCTGCGCGTAGAACGTGGCCGAGCAGTGGCAGCACGCGTACGGCTTATCGATCCAATGGTTGAGCGTGTGGCGGCTCAGCGACGCGAAACTCGGAAACCTAAAAAAAATCTTTGCGTCAGCTCTCGCATTGAAACCCTCCCGGCAATCCGAAAGCAACAAATAACTGCGGAGAACTATGAAACTTTCGCAAAATGGATGTAATTTTTTGTACAGTAATAGCAATTTCCAAAGATTTGTTTTTTCGAATATTGTATATAATTCTAAAAATGTTCGAAGTAGAGACATGGCGCTGGATTTCCCACGCGTATTTTTATATGACTTTTTCCAATAGAGTAAATTTTTTTTGAGAAAATACTTGTTTTTTGAAACCACGCAGTACGTCGTTCTAGTAAATGACGTCATCGCGTCTAGATTGTGCGCGACAAATAGTTCATATTGAATTTTCCAAATATCTCGAGCAGCGCATGTGATAGACGAAAAATAGTAAATACAAAAATTGTAACTTTTGAAAAAGCCTAAACCACTCAAATTATTATTTGGAGTCAATAATTTACTCTGGAAAAGAACTATTTTCAGGGTCTTTTAGATTTTTGTCCGTCATTGAAAAATCCTGCATATAATCGAAAAAACGCTTGAAATAAAAGTTATGGCACTCGATCTTCTGGTTCTCTTGGTTAAATAATTTTGCTGGTTGGCATTCTACTCTGTACTGGGTCATATACTGTTTGAAAGGGGCGGAGCTAAAGGAAGGTGAATAGTATCTATTTATTTACTTAGTTCCCTTCATTGTCCGAAAAGATGACACAATCACACAGAAAATGTCCGAGAATTTTATCCATAATTAATCAGTAGGCTGCTTGATTCATTAATAATATAACATATAGCATATATAGCTAATTAAAACAAATAATAATAATAATAATTGAAATTGAAGTTTAAATACATAGGTTAGATTAAAATAACAAAGCAATAAATAAAAACACTAAAAATCGAAATAAAGCTTTTTTTAAAATTATCACGATCATTTATATTCCGAACATTATTAGAAAAAATTTCATAAACCTTTATAGCTTGGTATGAGGCCCTTTTTCGAAAAAAGTGGAGCTATGTGCTGGAATTCGCAGGTTTACAGATTATAGTTTTCATGAAATAATTGACGACTTTTTAAATAAACGTAAGCAATGGAAGACAGTAAAAACGTGTTGTCAGTACATCAAGCTTTTCGAAAATATGGTAAGCATGACACCCGATCTGCAAGAGAGGAGAATCCAAAGAATAGTATATGTCGGCGCCTTTAGTTTTATGTGGTCGATATTTTACCATATTTCGTTTTGGGTGTTTGGAATGTTTATTTTATTATTTTTATTATTTCTTACAATCTCCGACATATATAACGCAACAAGTGTGGTAAACGGCATTTGAGTCACGAGTCTATTTGGCACGAGCGGAGCGCAGCAGACCGCGCGTTTAATAAACGAGTGACTAGTGATTAGTTTTTGGGAACATTTTTGCAAAACAACACGGTTACGTTCACTGACATGACCGTCAGAATTGGCAAACGTCAAAATTCAAGCCGTGCGGTAATATCTCCGAAAATATCCGATTGTTCCCAAACCCGTGAGGTAATATCCCTGAAATGTGGGACAAAAAACTCACGTGGCAAAATGACACTTTCCACAATCTGGATTGGTGTATAGTTAGGTATTTTACAGAAGGGAGTAGAAAAAAGCATTGAACAATTAATTGATTATTACAAAATTGCATTAGAATAAACTTGTATCGTTTCATGCGATAGTCTATCTCTCAATCTATTAATTACAACACACGTCAGTTTCATTTTGATACCAGTCTTTTAGTCGTATCTCTCCAGCTTAGGATTTCATCCAGTTGAACTCCAAAAAGTTTACTCTAAGCGATCGTTATAGATCCCTGGCCGCCCTTTACATACAAGGATTCATTATACTTTAAAATATGTAAATTTAATAGAGCCAATTTTTCTGAATTCAGAAGTTATGCTTATTACACTACTCTCTCCCATCTCCCATAACACCAAAATCTCCAGTGCACGCTCGAAACAGCTCATCATCAGAACGACCAGATAGCAGCACAGAGCTATAGTCAGCAAACTGACAAATCACTCCAGCTACAAAGACATCAGAGAGGCTATTCACATAAAGGGGGGGGGGGTCAAGAATACACCCTGCGGTGCGCCCTTGTTTTATGTTGTTAAAGAAACTTCAATTTGTAATAGTTTATTCTCTACTCCTCTTACACAGTACTTGTTTAGCTTGTTCAAAACAATGTTGTGATCAACCGTGTCAAACGCTTTTGATAAGTGGAAGAACAGCCCAGCAACCTTCTCAACTTTTTATAGAACATAACGTACAGCATGGTAAATTGTAACTTGAGTATATTTTTTAGATCTAAAACCATATTGACCAGGGTTAGTTTATTGTTCTTTTCAATAAAGTTCAACAGTCTTGTAAATAGTTTTTTCCACAAAAGGAAGAGAGTGTGGTAACAGGTCTATAATTCTTTATTAGATGAGGATCGCCTTTTTTGAATCCTGGCACAACTTGTCCCACTTTTAGAACAGTTGTAAAATCCCTTGTAGAGAAGCATTCATTTACAATTTCGCTTAATGGAACACTAATACTTTTTAATAAAAATACAGGTGTTTCATCTTTCCTTGCAGATTGTTTATTAGGCTGTCTGTCGTCCACATAGAAGTCATGGCCAAGATTAAAATGGATATTGAACATTTTCACAATGACAGAAGCACCTTCTACTGTTGAGAAGTCATTTAATTCAATTTTCAGAGACTGATTGTTGTTATTATTCTTTATTCATGCTCTTGTTAATATCTGATAAGTATTTTTTATATTCCTCTTTTTCTTGTTTATATAATAGAAGATCTTCATTGCGATTTGTTATTTTCTATCTAATATATCATTTCTGAGTAAAGTAAATCCCTCAGTTACAGAAAAAATACATCTAACATCTGCTCTTCACTTTAGTAGTTTCCACATTAGAGATATGAAGCATTCCATCACAAAATACCCTCCTACAACCTCCCAAAGAAAATGAATCCGAAAGCAGTATTACAACACTTGCCACTGTGCCAAAGAAAATTCCGCAAATCCACAGAAATCTCTAAATAATCAAACCTTTCTTTCACCAATATAGGAATTGGTCATCCGAAAGCAATGTTTGTGCCCTTTCTTCAGCTCTGCCCCGCCTCAAAAGGTATATCAATGTCAGCAAGTTCAATTTATCAACAACCGCAAGATTTGTAAATAGTACTACATTTTAAAGTTCTACATCAACCTCATTTTTAGATAGTATGCTTGTTATAGTCTAAATAACCAAATTATTGGCATTAAGTTTTAGGTTCCGCTCTCAAAATATACGGAATAGTCAATTTTTACTCACCTGTGCTTGCAAAAGATACAGCTAACGTTCATCTTGCCGATCTCCGCGTGATTGCTGGCTTGGTAATTCTCGAGCATCATGAGGCTCTGCTCCCTGATCACCATCTGGATCCACGTTTCGAGCTTGAGGTTCGGCGGTATCGTCTCGATTATATCGACGCTGTTGTTCCAGTGGATCTTGATGTGTTGCAGCATGTACTTATAGGTGATGCTCTCGTCTTGGCACGCCCTGCACCGATACCGAAACACGTTGTAGTCCTTGTAGAGGTGAAAGATGAAATCGGTAACGCGTTTCGACTTGAACTGACGACACTTGGGGCACTTCCACTGCTTGTTGTTCGGCAGGCCAACGTCGCCGAACAACGTTTTCAGATGCTGCTCGTCGTATTCCGCGATCGGCACGCCGTGCTCGTCGATCTCGCCGTCCAACACCTCATCGAGCTTCGCCATCTTTACCGCCTCCCGTAGCAGGTCGGTCGCCGCTGGTTTCGGCGCTTCCGCCACGAGCACCACGTCCTCCTCCTCCTCCTCGTCTTCTATGACGATGACGCCTGTATTCATCTCTTTCGCAGCAGTCGGCTTCACTTCCTTCACCTCCTCCTCGTCGGCGGGAGTCAGAATGGGCATCGCCTCCTCTACGGTTTCGCCTCTGGCGACGGCGTCAATAACGTTAAAGATGTTCTTCGACGACGTGGAAGGCGTCGCGACGATGGCGGCTGAGGTGGCTGCGGGGGAGCTCTTCGGCGTCTTCTTTGGCGACTTGACAGGCTGCGGCGTTGCTTCGTCGAAGAGTATGCCCCGAATGTGTCTCACTCGGGGCCGATCGCGTTGCCAAAGCGGCGTGGTATCGAACGGCGCCTGCGCCTCCTCTTTCTGCGTCTCCTCCTCCATCTTCCTGTAAAGTATGTCGTATTGGTTTTTAAAATAAATCGCCCCTCCTTGAAGAGACCTGGTTTCACAAAAGTATATGGGCGGGCTGTCCATATAAAATCTAGTCAGATCAATTGTGCAGTTACGTCATAGCATGACATTTATATCTAATTCGTTACTGGATGTCGTAAGTTGACACAGGAATTTTGTTTGTCAGTTTTGAAATCCGTCTCAATTTTATGAATGAGCAATTTAAGTTTCTGAAAATTATTCATTATATAGATACTTATTATGTCAACGTGTTGGCTACGCATTAGATATTTCTCTATGATAGGTGCATAAGCTTGTTTCTGGAGGCATCAAAACAGATCATGAACATAAAGTACAAGTTCAGACAAGTCATATTGCAGGACACGTAACACCCTTTTATAAAATACACGATCATAGCATACGGCGAATACACGAATTTATGCTATTATAAGATTTTGGTATAATGTAACATTAGTTAATTTTTCAAAGACACTTCCACAGGCTACTGTAATACTATTTACAAAAGTTCTGAATTCCTCCTTAACCGAAACTGTTAACAGTTTCAGTTAATCTCTGAAGAAGCCAATATTACACATTTGATCATTTGAGTAACGTAAGCAAGTTCGATTCAACAAAAACCGACACAGGAGGAAGTTTTGTAAATAGCAAATTTAGGTTTCTGCAAACATTTGAATTATTTCTAATTTTAGAATAAAAATGACTGTTTTTAAACATTAAAATGGTATTTACTCAGTTTGAAAATAAAGTGACATGTCTGGTTTTTTCCATATACCCTTCATATATTTATGTTTATGATGATGATTTTCGAGGACCCCGAGGGGTGGTATGCAGATGAACAGGTAGTGCCTAATGTTTCAATTTAGAATTATAGTTACTTTCTTGGAAAAAATTACATCACGGGCTTACTTTAAATAAGAAGCAATTTGAGATAAATGTGAAAAAGGAGCTACTGAAGATAACAAAAAATCTTACTGAGATGGCTAGGAGCTTAGATCTCAATCCCCTTGATTATTTCCTTTGGGAATATCTTGAGAACTGGGTATTTAAAAATACAGCTCTCAACCTTCAAGGTAAGGGATGTCGTTGTAATTGCTGCGAGAACAAGGTAAAAATACAAAGCAAAGCAAGAAAATGCATTGGGGGAGAAGGTTATCTCTTTAAACACTTCTAGTGGTTAAATTATGTTTATTTTTAATATGGGTATCAAGCTGGTAGAGCACAAATTGTTTATGTAAATGGTGATTTGTTGTCTACTTTTTTTGTATCTTAAGTTTTAATTTTATTAGTTTGTGTTAATAAAGATATCAATGAGTTGCAATAAAAATATCATGAGAATCTAATAAGTTTATTCTGTGTTTTGTATTATGGTTAAATAAATATAAAATATTCTGGTGATGGAATTTTCTGTACGAAACGTTGGCAACAATGTTGCAAAAAAATCAGGTCTGTATTTGAAAAAATGAAGTTCATTATGGTCGCCAGAAGCCGACACGTCATATTCAATAATAAATCATAGTCATAGTGTTTCATTTTAAGTTATCTTAAAAAATAAAGCCAGGAGATAATAGATACCAAAATTAAAAATTCCGTTTTTTTCGACTATTTTCGGAAGTATTCGAAATTTTTGAATATGTAAAACTGCATTTTATTGAGAATCAAATAGCGCAACTTTGACCCTGTATCTCTTACGGTTTTCCAATGATGAGCGTCGAATGTAAGCCACCCTGTACAATTATTCATTATCTCCGTTTTCCCACTTCGCTTACCTGTATACGAATATAAAGTCTATGTCGTGGTTGGGGTGGTCGGCCTTGAAGTGGGTGGCGAAGCTGGCCTTTTCGTTGCTCTTGTACGGGCACAGGGTGCACTTGAACTGAGCATCCACGTCGTGTTTGTTGACGATGTGGCTGCGCACGTCTTCCTCGGTCGCGCATCTGTACTTGCACATGCAGCACCTCCACGGCTTCGACTGTTTCGTCGTCGTCGCTGTCATCTGGGAGCCGTGCTCCGCCCCGTAGTGGTTCGGTTCCGAGTCCATCGCCCTCACGGTGACGTAACCAACTGGTTGGTCGGGATGCGCGTCCGTCGCGTGTTTCTCCACCTTGTGCTTGAGGTTGTGCGCAAAACCGCAATATTTGCACTTGTAGAGGGACAGACCGTGCAATTTGAAGTGTTTGATGATACCGTCCGCATCCGGGGGCGTGATTTGACGCTTGCAGTGAGCGCAAGTGAAGTCGGTCTCGTAGCTGTGGAGGGCGAGCAAGTGGTGTCGGAGGTTTGCCTCCTCCGGGCAGAGGTAGCTGCAGCCTTGGGCGCAACACACGAAACGGCAATGGGTTGGCACGAATTCGGGGATATTTTCATTTTCTGAAACGTTCCGTTCGATATTTTGAGTCTCATTTAAAGAGGTCATATTATTTTATATATATATATATATATATATATATATATATATATATATATATATATATATATATATATATATATATATATAGTTCTTCATATGGTTGCTTTTGGTTGGGTTAGTTTTTATTATGTTGTTTATTAGTACCTTTTCGGTATTCGTAATTTTCACTTGACCTAGTAAATATAGTTAGCGAATTAATTGCATTGTCTGTTAGGCAATAAGGCTTAATATTAATATTAGAACAAAAAACCTCGTGCAATATTAGCCCAAAATTGAAAATAACCGTATTATCAACACATATCGCCTTTAGACTAGAAGTCCAGAAGAAGCTGAAATAAATATCCCTCTCCATCGAAATAAAGAGAATGTGGAGAATCAAAGCCATCGAATATACATCCTCCCACTTTAGACCTGGAATCTGGTTAATTACGTTAAAATGGTGTAACATTACAGGACAATTGATGATAGTAGGCGGTATCGTTTAACTATATTTTGTTAGTTGCGTTGGTGTAGCTAGGCTATGAGTAGATGCGAAATGAAACTCCATTTCCTTTTATTATTTTATTTGCGCGCAAGAAACATGGAAATCAGAAAACGGAAACAAAAACTAAAAACCTAATTACTTTATGAATAACTATTAAAGTTATTTTAAGACGTATACAAAAACAGCACCTCGTACCTCAATACATTTTTTAAAATGTTTTTCTATTCAATGAAGTACCTGTAGTATTATTTTACCATCCATCTGGTTTATTTTTTCTCTTATTGCGGCATTTAAAACGTCAACGTGTTGGTATCTTTCCTTATAAATTTCGTACTTTAAATAATCCCATAAGTTCCCTTCATTCAAGTGGGGTTATATTTTGTAGCAAACTATTTATTGTTGAAAACGATTGTCAAAAATTGATATGTGCCTCGGAAGTTACGAGCTGGTGCGCCATCAATAATGATGATTTTTTGGATTATAAATTTTAGAATTTGAAAAATTATTTGTTTTGGTTAACAATACCAATGACAAAAAAGTCCTCTCTCTGCACCCCTGCCAAAAGCACCTGAGTTGGTTGGAATTTATAAGGGCAAAATTTGTGTTTTTTTTAAATCCTTTGGACAATATTAAAGTCTTTGACTATATCTCAAATAGAGTTGTCAAAAAATGTTGTGGAACGCGCTGTGGATATAGGTTTAAGTATCGTTCTCCTGCCTTTACAAACGATTTACTGCATCTAAATAGTATTCTAACATGTCGCACTTTCTTCATGTGTTAAAACCATTTTTGAATAAGTGATACAGTAAAATTAATTTAAATAAATGACAACAATTAGTAACACATTAAAACTAATGTTTTGATAATATTTTTTCCTGCGCCTCTATGGAATCTTTAAAAATAATCAAATCGTTTTTGCTAAAAGAAGAAGAAGATGAAAAAGAAAAAAAAATTACGGAGGCTGGTCTAGTTGTTTTTTTCTACAGTATACATTATAGATTTTGATTCAGGCAACCCACCACATAGAAGGCAGGCAAAAAAGTGGAATTGAACATGTTATTTCTATATATACGCTGGCAATTCGGGAGAGAAAACAAAAAGAAAATAAAAATAGTTGAAACGGACATTTATAGTAAAGCGTGAACATCAAGAACGCAATATGCTTTATTTGTTATTATTGCTGTCTGCTTTTTAATTATTATTATTATTTGCTATTGTTGTTAGTATTGGTTACCTTTATCGTGTTTGGCGCCGCCCATTCTTTCGGTGATCGAGCTAGCAGCTAGGTTGATCATTTTGTCGAACATTTTCTCGTTTTTCTCGAGGCACGGCACTGGATTGACCGGTGCGGTGTCGGGGACCGAGTTGTCGTTTTCGTGCATCTGAAGGTGACGCACGATATTCACCTGGAAATCGCGTCAACGGGTTCTATATTGATCCGCAAGAAAACGATTCTACGCACAGTCACTATTCGGGAATGGAAATGTAATGGGAGAACGGCCAAAAATGGGCGTATTTCCCTAAGGTGTTAAAACACAGCATTCTTCAAAAATTTCTATTAAAAAAAACCCAGAGAAATATTTATTCCTCAAAGAGAAATCCAGTAGATTATAACGACTAGTCTAATTTTTTTTCCCTTATTATTTATTCAGCCATTTAGACAAAATCTCTTGTTCTACAATTTGTGGGTAGGGTCGCTTGTTTTTGAGGTCTTTGTGTTATATGCGAAAAATCATCCTCTTTTTGATCGGCGCTAATCTTTCTTGGATTCATTTGATTAAAGTTGGCAATAAATACTAGGCAAAACAAGCACGAGAATGAAATATAATAGTGATAAACAATGATTCGGTAAAACTTCCATTTTCTTTCTTTTAAATTACACAACATCTCGGGCAGTTGTATCACCACCCGTTACGAAGTGTGGACTCTACACTTGATATTTTGATAGCGGATAGTAGAGCCTATACTTAATAATGCATAGTAGACCCTAAACTTAAAAAGGGGTAGTAGACTCTATACTTGATAATGAGTAGTAAACTTTACACTTGATTTGGGATAATAGACTCCACACTTGACAATGGGGAGTAGACTCTACAATTCAAGAGTAGAAATGTCAAAGGGTATGTGCCTTTTTCAAATATATTAACATTTTGCGATAGAATTGTAGTACGTCCCTCGCAGCATTTCCTGAGGAATATATGCGTATTCTAATAATTGAGTAACCTACATTTGCCTTACTATATTATATGTAACCCCTTTGGCATTTCCTTAACAATGAGCAGTAGATTCTATTCTTGATACCGGATGGTACACTCTACATTTGATAAGGGATAATAGACTCTACACTTGATAATTTTATACTTATAATTTTGCATACTTGATAAGTATTCTACACTTGATAAGTATTCTACACTTGATTACGGGTAATAGACTCTACACCTGATAACATGTAATAGAAACTCTACACTGGATGATGTGTAGCAAACTTTACACTTGATAACGAGTAGTAAACTCCACTTGATAACTTGATAAAGGATAATAGACTCTACACTCGATAACGGGTAATAGACTCCACACTTGATAAAGGGTTATAGACTCTATATCTGATAATGAGTAGTAAACTTTACACTTGATAATGGATATAAAACTCCACACTAGACTTTCAACTTGATGAGTAGTAAGGGGTAGTGATATATAATTACAGGAATTTTAAATCTAATAAGGACCATGGAACTACTTACAGGGTCACTATTCTCCGTTGATTAAGAAAATTTAAAACCATACCCGTTTCTTTTTTGGGCCGTAGAAGATGGAATAAATTTATTTTGCCAATTTGCAAATTGAATCCTTACTTTTTGGTATTTAGAGAAATTTTTGGAGAATATAAATTTTTAACATCTAGCATCTACTAATCAGTAATTTTTTTTTCGAGAATTATAATTATATACAAGAGCCAAATTGATCGAAAAGACTATCGATATGTTCGGACTTACCCTGACTTTGGTCTGGTAATTGCACAGGCCACATTTGACGTTCTGCGGGAAAATCTGCCTAATCGGGATGTCCTTGATCCGGTCGGGTGTGAACGTTAACCCATCGCCGGACGGTTTGGCCGCCTCCGCGGCGGACTCCTTGCCTGCCCCCGACGTCACCGCCGACACCGGTCGCACGACGAAGTAATCCCGCTCCGCGTTGGTCATGGTTGGCACCAAAGGTACTAGCGTCGTTTGCGAGATATTGTGGCCCAGTTTCATGTGACTCCTGCAACCAACATCGACATTTCTGTCTTTATATTTATGATTGTAAAATATTGTGTGTAAATTGAATTTTTTGATTAAGGTCAGTCCACAAAAGAATAAATTTACGATGAGAGTAATGAAAAATCAATGAGAATAATTGAAGCTTTAAAAAAAGTCAATCCTCAGTATGAAAGCGGCGTTTTGATTGCTTTACTGAATTGGCTTATCATTGGTCTGACGTCACATGTTGTTGCCTCGTTCGTTAGGCTAATCTGTGTCGTTTTTCGTCGTAAGACTAACATGTGTATGTGCTTTCACTGTAATCTTTATCATTCAGAACGTTCGAGGTCCAAGATTTGGAAGAGTTAGCACTCATACCCACAGGATCTAAGCTATAGAGCTTTATCTAAGTTCAGTCTGATTTTAGACATTGAAAAACATTCAAATTTCCATTTTTAACTCATAAAGTTTGCTTCTGTCTGATTTATCGATAAGTATACTTTAAGTTATTTTATAAGCCAAAGATGGCAGCACTTGTATTGACTTAAAAATAAACTGTGTTATAAATTGTAAGTAGCATCAAAGCTAGTAGTAACTGGAAACAACTGTATTTGTGTAAATACAAAAATATATGAAAGGAATCGACATATGATGTTGATTCATTTTGTTTTGTGGTAAATTCATTAAAGTAAGAAGTAAAAAAATTGCTTTAATTACGTACCACACATTAGTTGGCAAAATACTTTAGAAGGTAACAAACTGAAATTTAACATTTTAAAAAATGTCAACCAAATTTAAATCCCAATAGTCGTAATTTTTTTATATCCAGATTTTTCTTCAACCTCTGTTCTGATACCACCGGATGAAAATTTTCCTGTGCCATCACGCTCTCAAGTTCTCACAAGATTCAACAAAATCCGATACATCACTAAGCAACACTGATAGTAGCGAATTGATGATGATAAAATCCTAAAGTTTTGGGGCACATTTTTTATCAGTCAAAGTGAATTTAATGATTTAGTCTGAGACTTGAACCTATACAAGAGTACAGCGGATTTCTAGGTTCAAGACTAAAGCAATAGGATTTGCTCGAATATGAGGTAACAAACTGATCAAAGAGAGCGCCATCAAAGTTTTTCATATTTTTTTACAAAAGAAGTCGTTATTTGTTTCTGTAACAACGTGACTGAATTGTTTGAGACAACTGGAAATCTTAAAAAGTTTAAAAGTAGTTCTCTTTCACAACGGCAATGAATTTCCTAGTCTTAGTCTAGCACATTCTGTATTGTTGGACGAAAGCTATGACAGCGTGAAAATAATACTAGAACAATTAAAATACACAGAATACCAGTGGTCAGTGATCGGTGACTTTAAAATGGTGGGTTTTCTGATGGTAATGGAAGGTGGATATACTAAATAACCCTATCATCTTTGTTTATGGGATAGCAGAACAGATTCAGTGCATTATCAACAGCATATATGGCATGATCGAATCGAATTTCATATTGGAAAACATAACATAAACTCGGAACCAATCATACCACCTCACTGGCATAATGAAGCAATTTGAGAAAGCTCTGAATCCGAATTTCGAAGTTTTTAAATATTTGAGAGATTTTTTTTATAAGTTACCTAAAGCTAAAGTTAAAGGGGGTTTTATAAATAAAACAAATAATGAAAAATGATGACAATGCAGCTTCTTAGTGGCTGTGAAAAACGAGCCTGCACAAGTTTTAACGCAGTAGTTGATGGCTTCCTCGTAAATCATAGAGCTGACAATTATAAACAATTGATTGAAAACATGCATCAAAGCTTTAAAACTGCAGAATGTCTCATAGACTTCCTATGCTACATTCTCATTCAGACGAATTAAAAGATAACATGGGTGGCCACTCCGAAGAACAAGGAGAACTTTTTCACCAAGATGTGATGGACTTTGAACGGCGTTATGAAGGACAGTACAACGAGAATATGATGGGATATTAATCCGAAATACAAAAAATATTTATTTTTAAACACTTATTTCTCATTATATGCTATTGTTTATTACAAATTTTGAATAAAAAAGACAAAGATTAAAAAAAAACGTTCGTTACTATTACTTAAGGTAAAACTATTTAAAAAAAAAAATTAATGATTTTTATGTGTTTGCCAGAAAAACTGAAATAATGCTGCAGTTTCAAGGAAACTTTAACTCAAAAAAAATCCCTTGTTTTTAGTGTAAGAGAAACTGAAATTTCACATGCAGAACACAAAAATCGTGTTAACCGGTGTAATTAAATAAAATATAAATAAATAATAATACAACAAATAAAGGGGTCTCTTTTAAATGGTCTTTAAAATTTCAAACGTTTGTAGCTCAGGTAGTTATATTCATTAGACATTTTTAACTTGAAATCACCCCGGCGACACACTCCCAAGCTGTGGCAGTCATGTCGTGGGACGCCCTGTATTTTTTCATTTTCAATTAGAAAAAAACAAATACGGAAAGGCATATTATTAAACCTATGGAACAATCAAATTTTATGACGGAGTAACCACTCCAAGACGTCAAACTCTTAGAACAACCTACACTGAATTAAGTTTAGCTTAGCGTAGCAAGTCTCTAATTTGCGAACAACGTAACATTCTTAGCCTAACTTAATGGCCGAAGCGTCGTATACTCACTTGATGAACGGCAACAGCGGAAACTTGCGGCAACACAGCGAACACGTAAACCTTAACTCGCCGTGGCACCGGATGTGGTGCATCAGCTTCTTCACCGTGCCCATCGGTTTGTCGCAATGCGCGCACTTGTACCACAGACCCTTCTTGCATCCGGGCACTAAGACCAAGTGGTTCCTGAGGTCGTCCGCGGTCGCGAACCCCAAGTAACATTCCGCGCATCTAAACAGTTGGTGCGCCGCCAGACCCGTCTTCTTCGCCTTGTCGACCGTGCCCCACTCCTCGTCCGAATTCGACAACGTAGAGTTCGAACGGGACACCTTCTTCTGGAGGAGATCGGGAGTCTCCTTGACCTGCGGCCCATCGACCAGCAACGGATCCTCCACGGGGCTCGCCGCCGTGTTGAGGGTGGGAGTTATCGACAGGGGATCCTCGGGTGGCGAGTCCGGCCCCACATTTATACCTTCGAATAGAGGATCGTCGAGGAAGTCGTCGTCGTCGACTGCGGATGAAGGCGGTTCCGCCGGCGGCCGCTCGTTTTCCGCGACGGCTATGTCGACATGTTCCACAGGAACCGCGGCAGGTTCCTTCGGGGAAGTCTTCAGCGGCAACAAATCGATTTTGGAGCCCGGATTTCGCAGGTCCGCGCCCTTCTGCACGATACGGAACCTGACGCTGGGCGCCAGCTCTTTGGCTGTCACCATCTTCGTGCTACCAGCCCGGGACGACGTCAAAAACACGTTACCCGTCGAAGAAGGGGACGTGGGGGCGTTGGTCGCGTTGTTGCCCCCTTCGGCGGGCACGAGGAGGATGTTACCGGCTGGACTGCTACCCGATGTCGCGACCAAAATTTTGATGTTGTTGCTCAGCAGGCAACCGGAATCGACCTGCTTGAGGGTCAACGTATTGGACGGGGGACTTTTGACGACGGTCGAGTCCGAATCGAAAACGGACGAATTTGGACCGTTGGCCGTTGTTGTCAAGTGGATCATTTTGATCGCCTTCATACCCTTCGGCTTGCCGATGCACAGCACGTTGGGCGGTAACGTGGTGATTCTCGGCAAGACCTCGAAGGCTGCGTCCGTGTAACCCAGCTCGTCGCCCTGAAACGAACGAATAGAGTGCGACCTCGTTTATCCGTACACACTCAAAGCGACTATTTCCAAACAAACAATACAGTATCGGACAAAATTTGAGTGACCGCTTGGAATTTGTTAAAAAAAAATTGTACTGATCCTCTAAAATAAATGAAACGCTGAATTGATCAATAATAATAATAATAAAAATAATCTTTTATTTTTCTAATCGGCAAATACTAATAACACTTTACGTCCAACAGGTAACATGATCCAATTACAGGAAATATTAAATATAAATCATATGAAGTATTTGCAGGGGACGTAAAAACTAATCTTAAATCTACCAATCTTATAACTAAAAAAATAGAAAGAAAACTTGTCAGTACGGATAACCCGACGCCAATCGAAATTCTCTAAGTATCGCCTGGAGACCATCAAATATAGTTAAGTTTGTTGAAGGTAACACGCATATTGTAACAGAAGAAACGGGCAATCGATTCTTTAATGAACTGACTTGTAGAGAAATGATACAAATTGCAAGTCTCTGCGTAAGCTCAGAGGAAGAGAATGTCATGATCAACTCCCCCCTCAGGACTGGAACCCTCCTCCCTGAACATTAGATACTTCAGTAATCTTCTCTGCACACTCTCAATGGACTGAGCATGGCAGTTATATATTGGTGACCACACCACCGAACCATAGTCAACCGTGGACCTAACATAACAGTTAACATAAAATCCCCAGATCTTTTACAGTGCCAAGTCTAGTCAAGATAGTACCATCCATACTGTAATTAAAGACTATAGGCGTTTTTATATGAAAACCACATTACAGTTGCTGATGTTAAGATACAATTTATTTTTAGTACATCACTGACTGAAAACATTAATGTTGGAAAGGGATGCAGTCCGTTTGTATAGAAAATTGCCAAAAAAAATAAAATAAAATGACGCATAATCTAAGACTACAAACAGTAATGTGTAAACAAGGAAGGAAAAAGACTAACTAAAGTATTGAATACATTGTTTTAAATGCACATAAATTATCACACATTTTTTATTTCTTTCGGTAAAAGGTTAAAAAAAAATCAATTACACTTGGAATTCTATAGGAACTATTATATTTTGCATAAGGAACTCCAAAGTCGTCTTTAGGTCTTGTATTCGATGAGTGAAAATTACTGTTCAACACAAAACCTGATTTATTTTCAAACACATAATACACACATAGGTTTTACAAAAAGAAGATTTGGAAATACCGGCTATACATCTTATGACCCTTTTCTCAACCACGAACACAATAGTCGAATCGATCGACCATCTCCACAAAATTATAACATACGTAATTCTACTCTCAAGGTGAACGTAATAAACAATTAATATTTTGTAATTCTGTTAAAATATCCTTCAAATTAAATAATAAATAATGTTCATCCCGATACCATGGAAGTTTGAGTTTTAAAATTCATGTTTTTATCTATGAATATTCCAAAAAACTTACATCGCAAATCTTCAGTATTTATGTGAAGCGAAAGGTCTCTATATCGCTTTTGACTATGATGGAATCTTATAAAAGATAAGTTATCATTATTAGACCAAGAGTTCACCTCACTCAAAACCACGTTACATTTGTCTTCCAGCAAACCTTTTACCTTTTACCATGAATCACTTCAACTTCATTTCAGTGCATACACCATCTCGTTATATATTAGGCTAACATATTGTTTCCTATAAGATAAAAAGTATTTAGCAAATTTCAATGGAGGATCGCTTATATCATTGCAAGACATTTTCCATAACATTATGTCGTGATCTATACAATCGAATGCCCTGCTGAGGTCACAGAAATCCCAAAAGGACACTCGCCGGACTCTAGAAAATTAACAATACCTTCCAAGAATGAAGTAAACTGCTGGCATCTAAGATCTTACACATCGAAAATCGAACTGGTTATCGAATAGTATTTTATTGTTTTCAAGATACAATTACTGAAACAATTTCGAGAAAATCATGGTGACTGTAACTGTGATTATTACTACATTTTTTATGCAATAAAATAATTTTTCCAATTTTTTAGTTTAAAGGAAATTTTCCTTCACAAAAGGATACATGAGCAAATGGGTACGTACATCAACAACTTCCAAACATGTTTTTAATTTGCTTATTTCATTTTTTTTAATGTGGGTCGTTAAGTCCCTCGTTCATTAAGCACTCGCTGCGCTCGTTTCAAATAAACTCTTGACTCAAATGCCGTTTACCACACTTGTTGCATAATATACTATTTTATTTTTGGCAAACATGCTCAAATTAAAGCAGCTTTTTCATTTTCCTATTCTCCTATCCTCTCATACAACGATTGTAATATTGTAATAGTCGCCATTATCATAATATGGCTTATAATAGAATAGTTACCCTGATAGATTGCCTCATCAAAAATTTTAAATTCCTCTAAGTCTGAAGTTAGTGATCTTTAATTAGTCTGTGATGCCTTTGAAAATTCATCTCATTTTATGCTTTAGGTCTATTGCGAGAGCGTACCTCGGACAGAGTCTCCAACTTCCTGACGAGAATATCAGGCTGCATCCACTGGTGGAACTGCGCGAAATGCTGAAACATTTTGATGACTTCGCGAGAGTTCATCTTGCAGTAGGCGCACTGATAGGTGCACACGCCGTGAAATAGCGCCCAATGGTTCATCATCAGAGAACCCTGGACCCTGTGAGTGCAGCCTTTGTAGCTACACGGAATGAAACTGTTCCGGTGGAACGTCAGCAGGTGTTTCTCGAACTCGTCGCCGAAAAGGTATTGCTTCAGTTCCGGTTGACCTTCTGCGAAGGGAATTTTAACGGTATTTAGACTTTACAATCGACGTAAAAAGCAACGACGTTATATCCAAAAGAGACCGTCGCGCCTACAAAATCAAATTCATAATGGTTCGTACCATGTAGGCTGCCGTAAGCTAGGTATTTTATTAACGGTCGTATTTCGTTTGGATGTAATGACAATTCACTAAATTTAAAGTCATTACGTAAAATTACAACAACAATACAACAAAGTAACTTTAACCAAAATTAAGGTACAATGCTTGCACAAATGAACATTGTGAACAGCACTACTGTGTTGTTTTTTGTCAAATATGGATTTGAGAAATATAGTAATATAGAAATATATTATTTGACTGAGATACCTTTAGTTTAACTTAAACTGAAACTGGCAAGCATTCTACTCTAGGCCTGTTTGAGAAAGGCTCTATCATGTTCTTTGAGCCCAGTTGATATTTTTCGTTCGGTCTCACCAATGTATTCTTTGCCGCATTTAAATGGAATGCTGTAAACTCTGATTTTGACGGTATATTGCTTAAAAACTTTTGATATCCGGTCCGTGATATTTTGAATGTATGGAATAGACAATAGTGGCAAGTGTGGGGTTGCTTTCGGACTCGTCGCCTTTGGAAGGTTATGGTGAAGTGTATTTTGTGATGGAACGCTTAATATCTGTAATGTGAAAATTATTAGAGAGAAGAGTAGATGTAAGATATTTTAATTCTGGGCTCAGGTTGTGTGGTTTTACGGGTCTGTAAATAAGAGAATTAATAATTGACTTTTTTAGGTCGAATGGTAATGTGACAATGCATTAAGGTATCAGGTGCATAGGTTTTCTGTAAACAGAATGTTATCAATTTCCAATTCAATGGAAAAACGTATGTTAGGGTGTACAAAATTTAAATGACTAATAAAATCTTGGAGGGATTCTTGACCATGAAGCTAAATAACAAAAGTATCATCAAAGTAGCCTTTCCATAATTTTGGTTTTGGATGGAAGATTTCGAGGGCTTCCTTCTTAAAGGCGTCCATCAATATATTCGCGATGACTGGTGATAATGGATAACCCATAGCTATTCCCGACGGTTCCAGACAAGCGTTTTTTATTATAGATGAGAAGGTTTGGCTCTAGATTCTCTGATTTTAAATGTATGTGAAATAATGTTGAGTTTCAGGAATAGTAAAAAGGAATTCGAATTCGAAACTAACCAAAATATGCTGTGGATGGAATGTAATTGTTTTAAATTGTTCAATGAAAAAGAAAGTACGAAAGTGTAAAGTGTAAAGAGTTTTAATGCAAAAGCTCGATATTTTGCTAGAGAATATGTTGGACCAATGGTGTTGACAATAGATCGAAGAGGTAATCCTGGTTTATGAATCTTAGGGAGTCCGTAGAGACGATGAATTTTAGAATCATGAGGGTAACAGAATTTTTCACGGATTCTAATAGAGACGTAGCATTAAAAACAGATTTAAGGTTGCGAATCCAGAAAGTTTGTAAATCGTATTACAGTTACTAATGGACATAGCTTTGAAATATTAACTGCTTATATATTGTTTGAGGTGAGAGGAGCTAAAGAAGAGGCATGAACATTGGTCTCGTATGACTGATTCCCATATTGGTGAGTCACGGTTAAGATCGCTGATTGTTCAGAGATTTCTATGAATTCTGAATGAATATTTTATGTCCGATTTCATGAATGTGTTGGACAACTGCTTATGAATTTATTAAGGCCTATTCAACTTTTTGAGCCTACTTGATATTTTTCGTTTCGTTTCTCTGATATATTCTTTGCTGTAAACTCCTGGTGTCTCAAACGGAATTTCGTCCTTGACGGATCAAATTTTTGATCGTGGTGAATTTGGTTTTAACATTATATTTCTCAACACTTTTGATATGTGACCAGTGATATTTTGAATGCAAGGAAGAACAACAGTGGCAAGTGTGGAGTTGCTTTCGTACTCACCTGATTTGGGAGGTTATGGCGAAGGGTACTTTGTGATGGAACGCTTAATATCTCCAATATGGAAACTATTAGAAGAGCAGATTTTAGGTGTGACTTATATCACAAAACCGGACATCAAATGTTATTCAACCAAACTAACATTCTCGCGTGTAGTAAATGCCGAGAATCGATAGAGACCTTTAGACTTCCACCGCCACTGGGAATTCATCCGAGACAATGCCTTTTTAGCAGCTTTAGCTCCGCCCCGTCAGTTAAGCTATGAAGAAGTCAATAAGGTGATATCTTCCACCGACACTAAACGACTAACAACATTACAACTGCCTCACACTCACCCCTGTTCTTGCACAGACACTTAAAAGCCTCGCACAAAGTCTTCAAGTCCATTTTGGAATCGGCCACAGCGAACTTCTTCGCGGACTTGTGCACGGGCAACTGAATAACCGAGTACTCCTGGCCGGTGTGCGCGTGATCCTGATGGAGACACACGTACTCCTTCAACCACGAGCGGTAGAGGCAATAGCAGCACGCGTACCTGCAGTGCGCGTGTCTTATGTCGATGTGCATCGGCACGTGTTCCCACGGCGTCTTCATGTCGCAGTACACGCACGGTATCATCACCTCCGTGTCGGTTTTGTGCGCTTTCAGGTGCCGTTCCAAGAATGCCCTGAAGTTGGTGGTGAACATGCAGTAGTAGTGGGGACACTTGTACAACTCCGCGGGCGTCTCGACGAACTTCGTCATTGCTTTGGGCGCTTTCCGCGGCCTCGCGAGTTCCGCCTGCGTCAAACGCGCCTCCTTCACCACCACGTGGTTGGCGCCTGCCGTCGCCGATTGCGTTTTCGGACTAGAGATAGGTGTAAGGGGGGGCGGCGCCACAGGCACCTGTTTAGGCGCCTCCGCGAGGGACATAACCTCAGCTATTTTAAACGAGAATGGGTTCTCTTCGGAAAACTCGAGGGTCGCTTCGGAGGCGGTCACTTCCGGCGCCGGCGGCTGCGCTTCCACGTTTTCTGACTCGTCGTCGTCGCCGTCGCCGTTGCGTTCCGGTTCCCTCTTGACCGACAACTTGTCGCCGCTCAGTTTCCTCATCCGTAGGATCGTGTTCGACGGCTTGGTGTCGCCTGCGTCGAAACTCGCGTGGGCGAAAACCAAGTGGTCGTACAGGTTCTCCATCAGATTGGTATCGGGCGTGGTCGTCACGTAGATGCCGCACTTTTCGCACAGCCTCGCGTCCTCGTTCCAGTTCTTGTGTCCGAACTTGCAATGCAACTGGAACACCATCCTGTCTTTGGTCGACACGTAGCAATTCTCCGCGTGGCACGAGAATATAAGCGAGTCCTTCGTCTTGGTTACTTTCACCAGGCCGCCGACGGTAACGCTCTGCTCATCTTCGGCGTTCGCATCCGGGACCGCGTCCGAATTACTCGTCGCCTCGTCGCTGCCTTGGCTGGCCTCGTTGATCTTCCCTTGGAGCTTCTTAATGGTATTGGAAAAAAGCGAAGGGGTCTTGTTTTGCCTGAAGCTGATGGTGCAGGGCGGCGTCGGGGTCACGTCCTCCTCCAGCGTGGGTTTCTTCGAGGCCGCGGCGTCCGCGGGGGTCGTGGACGCTCGTTTGTTATGGAGCGGTCTTAGATCCCTAAGGGAGGCGTTCGGAACAGGCGGTTGTTTTTCCAACACCGGCATCGGAGCTTCGGTCGACTCCTCTTTCGGCTCCTCCTTGACCGTAATCCGGGGAGCTTCTTCATCGGCCTGCTCGTTGTTTAATCTGGTGCACAGTTTGTCGACGAAATCCAATTTAGAGGTTCTCGAACCGATGGTCTTGTTCAGTTCGTCCATCGTCCTCAGACGTTCCTCCTCGATCTTCTTTGACTCCTCCTGCAGTATATCCGTCGGGCAGGTAAACACGTTTTCCGACACGACCTTCGTCGTTTCTTCTATCTGCGTGGGTGGCAGATCGGAAATTTTAGCTTCGACGTCGTCCGATTTGTTTTTCATAGACACCTCGGTCGCTTCCATCATCGATTTCAGCTTGACGGTAGCTTTTTCCTTGGCCGCCCGCCCCCTGCTCGACAGAGCTATGATCGAATCCAGGTCCTCTCCATTCTCTTGGCATATGAGTTTGTCCAAAGATGTCCTCTTCTTCCACACTCTGGGCGCTTTCGTTGCTTTGGTCACGGTCGAGGAATCGGACGTGACGTTGTCCTCTGAATGGGAAACTTCCGTTTCCGACACGCTGCTGGTATCTACAGGATTCGCGATAGACTTCCTCGCCTTCGCGAGAGCGAACCTCGAGCGCCTCCTCGATTTTGGCCCGGGTTTCTTCCTCACGGAAGTCGGCGTCTTCTCCGGTGTCTCTTGCGCAGTGGGTTCCGGTTCTATCGCAGGAACGTCCGTTTTGGTTTTAGATTTAGGCCCGGGCTTCCTTCTGGCGGGAGCGGGCTGGACCTCTTCCGATTGCTCCGCGGGCGCCTTCGCCTTGACAGGTTGAATTTTGGCGACCATTTTCTGCGTGATGGGCTCCTCCACTTCGGGTGGCGTTTCCTCCACGTCCGCCAGTTCCCTGGACCTCTCCAGGGTCGGGTCGACGACCGCGGACATGTTCACCTTGATGATTTCCGGCTTCTCGCCCAAATGGTAGATGTTTATGTGTTCCTCGACGTTCTTCCTCAATAGCTGGACATAGTTGCACTCGCCGCAGAGGTAACCGAAGATGATGACCGAGTTGTAGCTGGTCCTTATTGCTTTCTTTTCGTCGTCCGGATGAATATTTAGGAAGTGATTGTTCAGCGCCTTGGCGTTAGCCCCGCAGAAATCGAAGCAGATGCCGCACTGGTGCCTGTACTCGCCCGTGTGGGTGCTCACGTGCTCGTAGAAAAAGAGCGGTAACGTGGAGCTAGAGAAGCCGCACATCCTGCAGCTGTACTTGTATTTGGCAGCGATTTTCGCGTTCACGATCGACTCGTACCACTTGCCATTCTCAGCGTAGTCCTTGTTCGCTTCCGTGGCGACTTCGGGCGAGAACCTCGAGCACAGCACTTCGGAGTGGGGATGTTCCTTGAGGTAATGCGACGTGAGGAACAGGCCGGTGTAGTCGCACAGTTTGCACTTGATTTTCGCCTGCTTATCGATGTAGTATGATTTATCGGGCTCGACGAACAACTTGTCCAAATCGGCCTCCAATGAGGTGCTATTATCGCCATCGTCCGGCGACACAGTCCGTTCCGGGCTGTTTTCCTTCGACTTGGCCATTTTCCTTTTCTTCTTATCGACTATGCCGGAGGCCCAACGCTTGCCCCACCGCCTCCTTACCGCTCTGGTCTTCAGGCTCGTGTCGCTTGCCTGCGATCCGTTCTCCTCGTCGTCGGTACCCCCCGATTCCAACTCGGACCCGTTCTCGACCGACTGGAACGACTCGTTCGTCGCCTTGTTTGTCGCCTCGTCGTCGGTTTCGGCCACTGTCGACTTTCTATTCGCTCCACTCCTCAACATCCTCTTGGGACTGTCGTCGGGCTTAGCGACGAGGGGCTCCGGCATCTTCGCCAACAGCACACGTACGCTCTTCATCGACTTTATGTCTTCCGCGTTGATTTTCGGTTTCGGTTTCGGTCCGGATTTCTTGCGCTGCTTCTTCGGCGTTTCCGCATTCTCCGCGTTCACTTCAGAACGTTCAGAACTCTTATTGAGCGCGTTGGGGTCGTCTTTAAGCATTCTGCACATCCGTTTGCCGGTGGCGGTCAACACTCCGTCGCGTATAAACATGTCTTGGATGTCCTCATGCAGCCAATCGAGTTCCGTTCGCATCTTCTTCTTCGATTTAACAGGCACCATTCGTTTTCGGCTCTTGGTCCTCTCCCCGACTGACATCGTGACCGACGGGGGCTGCTCGTCCACTTCTTGACTGTCGTCTTGTGAGGATTTCGAAATTTCTGGCTCTTCATCGACAGGTCTGCACTCTTCCACGTTTCCTTCCTCGGTGGTGGAGGACATTCTCCGCTCGTCGCTCGTATTCATTCCGGGAAATTCTTCGGTAGTGGACCCGACCACCGGAACCTCGTCTTCCGGCTGCGGCTCTTCGATTTTAGATATTTCCGCCTCGGCGATCGCCTTCTTCTTCGCGTCTTCGCCTTCCGACTCGTCGGATCTGTCGTCGTCGTTGGTTTTGATGATTTTCGTTATCTTTTTCAATTCTTTGTCGGTGAAACTGTCCGAGAAAGTCTCGATCAGCGAAAAGAGCGCGGTCTTCTTGTCGTTCTTGTTTTTGCTCTTCAGCAGATTCTCGAAAAAGTGGGCCAGGATATTCTGCTCGGTGGGCTCAGAATACTTCCGGTCGGGGTCGGTCTCCGCCGCCGGAAGCAGTGGTTTTTCTTCGCATTCGTCCACCGCGTTCGTCGCCGTTTTCTCCTTAACCTCTGGAGGCGGTTCTTCGGCCACCTCTGCGGGTTTACTTTCGTCCAAAATAGTTAGTTTTCTTCTTTCCGCTTGATATTCCCGATCGTATTCGCTGATAAAATCGTCGACCGAACTCGCTGCTTCCACGACTTCCGCCTTCTCCGTCTGCTTTTCGACGGTGCTCGTCTTTTCTTTCGGCGCTTCATCTTTCGCACCATCGTCAGTCTCCTCGCGACGATCCTCGGTCCTTTCGTCTTTCTTTGACTTCTGCTCCTCGTCTTTCCTGACTTTTTTCGGTATGCGAAAGTTTTGCACGCCGTATCCTTTGCCGGTCTTGTTGCTGTCCCTCGCGTAGAGTCTGTCCAGCGGGGACGTGAACGCGTCCCCCTCTTGCGGAGTGGACGTGGCCCGTGGCTGATCCTTGCCGGCGGCGGTCCTCGCGTACATCCGATCGAATTTGCTGTCGTACCGAGACTTGGACAGCGGCGCGGCGCTTCTAGCTGCGTACCTCGAATCCGCTTCTTTGGGTCTCGCTCCATCGGCGGGTTCCGTCCTATTAAGCCTCGGGTCTCTATTGGCGGACGCCCTGTCTCCACCCGCGTCCCTCATCGTCGTCGTCGTTTCCCTGGCCTCGCGTTCCTTCATTTCCCGATACTCCCTGTAGCTTCGCGGGTCGCGCGATCTCCTGTCCCTGTCCCAGCCGTGCGACCCTTCGTTCCATTGCCTGTTGTCGTGGAAGTATTTTAGCTTGGCCTCCTGCACGTAATGCGGAATTTCTGGCTTCAGCATCGGCGGTCCCATCTGATTGCTGAAGTTCGGCTGAATTCCCAAACTCGGAGCGCCGAAGTACTCCATCTGGGGCTGGGCCGGTACAAAGCTGGGGTAAGCTTGAGGTTCGTGGAACCGATTGGGAGCGATAAAATTGAGCGCGGGTCTGACAGGTTCCGCCAACTGGCACGCGGGGAAGCGCGGGCTGAATGTCGCATTGAAATTGTGAGGCCGATTGAACTGCAATGCGGGATTTGGCGGGTCGAAGTCGATCCGCGGAGACGGAGGCGGTCCGCCACACTCCTGCACGGGTGGTTCGAAGTCCAATTTCGGAACCGCCATCGGGTGCGGTTGGAACCGCGTCGCGAGCCTGGGAGGCGGCGATATTATGGGCGGCGGAGACAGCGGACTAGGCGCCGGCTGCCTCCTCGGATCCGCCAACGGCTTGCTTTGGAAGATTTTCTGCAAGATGTCGGGCAATTGGGCCGGTTTCGGCTCCCTGTCCATCGTGAGCCGCACGAGGCTCGCGGGCGGTGGTGGAGGCGGTTTCGGCTCCGGCAGGGACATTTTAACGGGCGACAGTTTCATGTTTTGCTCTATGCTCGCTTTGACCACCTTGTCGACATCGTCCTCCGGTTCCGAGTGCTTTTTTGGTTTCGGGTTGTACTTGTCCGCGAGGCGTTTATATACGGGATTGGGTTTCGGAGTCTCCTCTTTACTCCTTTTCGTTTCCGACAAATTATCATCGGTCTTGGAGCTCTCAGTCCCCAGAGTTTCGACCGCTGTAGTGGATGGCACCTCCACTTCCCTACCTACAACCTTCTTCTCGTCCGCACTTTCCATCTTATCCGAAATCCCGCTTTCGCCTTTAGCATCTTCCTTCGGGTCATCCCTTTTGATCTTCTCTTTCGGACTCTTTCTGCTCGCCTCCTTTTTCTTGTTCTCCTTCTCGCCGGCCTTGGCGTCGTCTTTGGTCGTCGACGACGACGACCTCTTCTCTTTCCGTTTCCGCTCCTCCTTGAGCTTCTCGTCCAAGCTCGAAAGCAAACTACCGAACGTGCTGTCGACCGTGCTGACCACCTTCTTCGGTTTGTCTTTGTCGCGTTTCGGCTTTTTCTCGACCGAGTCTCTTCGTTTCGCCTTGTCAGGATCGCGACTCTCCTTTGGTTCCGCTTCCACTTTCGACGGCTCCATCGCCGTACTGACCCGGTCCACCTGTATTTGCAGTTCCAAGTGCTGGCGGTACTTTTGCAGATCGTCGACCGTCGCGTTCGAAAACTGGGCGGCGGTAATTTTATTGTTTACGTCATCCTCGAGGGTTTTGAGGTCCTCGAGACTGATCGGGGGTTTGCTCATGTCGGGCGTTTTCACTATCGGCGGGATCGCTTTTTTGATACCCAAGTCACCGATCAAAGCGCTACCATACACGTCGATCTTGGGGTAATGGCTGCCACGCGACGAACACGCAGTCACCTTCTCCGTCGGTATCGTTACCGGCTTGGTGAGGATTATATCTCTGGGTGGACTAGGACTCGCCGGCGTCATTTTGGGACTCTCGACTCTATCGACCGGCGTTATAGGTTTCGTCCTCAATTGTGGGTTCTGAAAAGTTTACAGGGTTGCATACGCCTACGACCAGCCGCGTACGCGTCAACCTACCACTTTTATGTAAATATTTGTGAGCACCTCTTCGCACCTCTTCAGCGTTTCCAATTTCAATCTAAAATGCCAAAAAAAAAATGTAATAAACCTATGGAGGGGTATTTTCGAAATGTAGGAAAGAGTAACAATCTATTGCCGACGACCCAATATCCAAAAGAGGTGGTATATATTTGTACTATGCCAAAACAATTTTGACACCATCCCGCCAAAGTGACTCCAGAAGTTCAGTAATTCCACTTTAAGGCATTCTCTTTAGACAGCGGTCTCAGTTAATATCGAAACCAAATCGGATTTCCTAAACTCGCGCGTATTAAGCGCAACGAGGTCCGTATTAGCAAGATTGCCTGATCATCTGATGGAATCAATTGCTGAGCAGAACTAACAGAAAAAAGTACAAATTCACTGAATCTATACCCAAAAAATCCACGAAAAATATAAATCGGACGGACATCCTTCCGAACAATCAAATGTTCAACCCAAAACTGCACCAATTTAAAAAAAAAATTGAAAACTAAAAGCCAGTCTATTAGTCTTTGTTCTAGCAAACTTTAAAAGGGAAAACCCACAACCTAATACGATTTTTTGACTAGCAAACGCCTATTCACCGCCGAAGAAACGTCACGTCACAGGCAACAAACTTGTAAACGAACCACATACAAACCCAAGAAGAGTGACCAAATAGCTGAAATTGACCCTCTGTATGACTTTATCACACGGTTACCATTTAACCTAAGAACAAATCGGTATAAAGTGGCCTGGTGTTTTAATTCGCCACAGAAAGTCCTTACTTTTTCCGTTTGTCCGTGATCATTTCGTGGAGCGATTTGATTTTGGTCAGCTGCGCTTCCCGGTTGCCCTTTGCCTTCAGTTCCGTCATCATGTTCTCCAAGAAGGGTGTGTACTGCTGAAGTGACGCCAATTTATTGACGTACTCCTCCTGCTCCGCCATTTTTGTTTCTGCAAAACGACAAACAACGGTTTCGACCACAACGCTAGATGCGGTTGCTGACATCACGACCGTCACCTCCGAATTTGACCCAACAATGAGTGCCTCCCATAGTTAATAGACTGGGGGAACGAGAGAGCAATAAATTCCAGTACAGCTTAGATGTTAAAAAACAACCATCAATATACTACATTGTATTTAAAACCTATTAATTTTCACAATTATTATACATCTAAGGCATAAAGTCACACATTATGTACATATTTACTATGCTAAGGCAGAAAACAACATGATGGCATAGTCGGCAATAAAATGCCAGACAGACAGACAGACATCAACAAATGTTGCTACGCCGCAAAATGTCTATCAGATCAATGCAAGATAGGTGTCAGTACCGATCACGATTATAGTACTTGAGAGTAAGAGAGACAGAATCAGTTGTACTTGGCATTAGAGATGGATTTATGTATTTTCTATGTAATAATAGATAATGTAATAATAGAAGGCTATTGCTTAATGATATAGGAACATTTAAGTATCTAAATGAAAAAATTATAATAGTTTGTTATATAAACTATTGCATGAAAAAAATTGCCATGAGTAAATATACAAGTCAAATATCGAGCCAAAATAACAAGTGATGGTACCGTTATATCAAGTGTTACATCAATATCCAATTTTCTTTAGAGAGCTGAAATCCAAACAGATACAGCTACAGAATCATGGTGCCTTGCCTCACTCACAATATTTTTATTAAAAAATGTTTTGCACTGAGCCCACACCAATTCTACAGAACTAAATATACAATGGTAAGGAAGCAATTTTAAAACTTGATGACCCATTTCAGCAAATGTTTCATCTGTATCATACAGCAACTGTGCCTTGTAATTTTTGACGACTTTTAACAACTCAAATTTTAGAGAACTGTGCAACCAATTGATAATTTCTTCTTTTATTATCTATGCATTTGGTACACTTTCACTAACCACTTGATATCGTGCATTATCTAGAATAATTAAAGACGGCCTTTCAGCTTCGGCTTTTCCAAAAATGCGACCCTGTTTTGTAGTGGAAACTACTACAAATAATTAGTATAAGAGAGGAAGCAGGTAAAATAATGACGCACCTTCTCTCCTGGTTTTATGACCGACTATGCCATCGCAAATCGTACCGACTATAGATAAAACCTATCAGCGTTCAACAACCAAAATAGCCGCTGACAGTTCGCAAATTCGACATGTTCTGGTTTAAATGCATCATTTTCCGGGAAAATGAGTTATGTACATGGAAGTCGCTGTTGCGCACAGTGCATATCACCTAATAGTTATATGTCCAAAACTAATTTACAATTCCGAACATCAATCATTTTTAGCTGTTTCCTGAAATTTTCCAAGCAAATTATTGTTACGTTTCCATATTTTTAATAGTTTAATTAATTTAATTTAATCATTTTTATAATGTTAGTTGTCCTAATATTATAAGAGAAAACAATTTGCTACCACAACAATTTATTTTTTAATTTAATTTAATAATTAACGTTTTAATTCGTCACTCGTGATTACTCTCTTTACTCTTTCGGTCGTTTTAACAGAATTTTATTTAGTGACTATAAAATTCATAATTATCTGTTGGTGACAATTTAGAGTGTTCCAATCTCCCCAGCCGAACGGCTTCTCGCATAATCCGGGACTATAAGTGCGATCAAACACATACTAAGGTAAGGCCTCAATTCGTCAATTTTTTATAATTTATACAGTCCACTTTTCTCGCCATTCTGACTATTTTTAGTTCGTCAACTTAACATTTGGTCCTTCGAGCCGGATCTATTTCTTGAACTGAGGTGGCTTTAACTTGATGAAAATCCATTTATCAAAATAAAGAAGACAAAGATAAAAACACGGTGTTGTCGAAACAATTTTCATGTCATAATATATAATTTCGTGAAAATCTGAATTTTTAGTTCTTATTTATTTGGATCTATTTCTTTTATATTTATAATTTTGTGTAGTTGTAGCAACTTACACGATATAAATTGCTTGGCTAACTTTACGAAAAATTCGTCCTTGACCGTACCCTTATTTTTGATATGTCTTCCGAGAAACGTGTTTGTTTATTGATTTTGCTACAAATCGGGTCGCGTGCTTCACTTTCGAAAATTTAGTCAAACGGGCTTTTTTTTGTTTCCTTTTTTAATAGGGTTCAGCACTTTGTAACTTTACCAACTAGTTTGTTATAATCATCAAACATATCCGACAAGCTTAAAAAAGCAAAACGTCTTAGACAAAGTGAAATAAGTTATTTGAATGAGGTTTTTAGACTCGCAAAACAAACTGAAACGAATCCAAATAGCCAAATTTTATTTGAAAGGCGTTATAAGAAAAAATAAATTTTATTAAAGAGAAATTGGAAATAACTATTAATACATAAAATCCGTATTTCATGGATTACGTGTTAATTCCGGTAGTACAAATTTAAATAACCGTTCCTCTAGCAATGTAATAACTAATGCTAGCGTAATTCTTCCAAAAATGATCTTACCTACATTTTCTGGTGATTTCTCGATCTTTACGCCGTCCAAAGGTATTTTTGATGCACTCATTCAAGAAAATTCGTCACTCTCTAATGTTGAGAAATTCAATTATTTGTCGAGTACTTTAAAGGGACAGCCTTTATTACTTATCCAAAATTTACCAATGACCTCGGACGATTATTTAACTTATTAATAACACCTTAGTGCAGAGGTCACCAACCTTTCAGATAGCTCTCACAACGATTTTAATTTTAAAAATACAAACTGCAAAAATCAGAGAAGCTTCAAAATTCCACAAAAAATCTAATGGTCATAATATTAAACATAAATTCCACTATTTATTCCAAAATTAACAAAGTTGCTCAACACATTGAAGAGGTTGGCGACGTTATAAAAGAGTGAGGGAGGTTGCAGCCCCGAAAATTCGGTGAAGAAATTCTGGGAGGAAAGGAAGTTGATGATGAAAGATGTAAAAGTGAAAGCATCTTTTCAAAAGAAACCTATCAAAGTGAAACCAGCAGGTTTGTAGTTACTCTTCCCTTCCGCGGTGTTGAACCTAATTTTCCGAAGAGTAGACAATTGCCTCGCAAATTATTGTTGTCTTTAGAACCTCGTCTGTTGAAAAATCCCCCACTTTATCATCACTATTCTCAGTTTAGGCGGGAATATCTTAGTTTGGGATTTCTGATGTTATATCGGATAAGTCATTCTATATACCTCATTATTGCGTTTTGAAACAACAATCACACAGATTATAAAAGAATGTTATGGGGATTTTCTCCTTCTAAACCCATTTCCGAGTATAAATTACTAACCGTGATTTATGGACTATCTTGTGTCCCCTACCTTGCCATAAGCACCTGCCGCAGCTGGTCTGACAAACTCTAATGTTGATGATTTCATCATAGGTGCATCAACCTTTACGGACACTGTTAAGTTAATAAAAGATTTGATATCCCTATCAGCAAAGGGCGGATTTGAATTACGCAAATGGTGCAATAATGACATTAATTAAAAAAGGTTGGAATTTGATACAGACGAGTGAAAATATTGGAACTGCAGTGGGAACCAACCTTAGATTGTTTTCTATTTTCGGTGTCGCCTGTCGATATCTCCTGCACAGAGAAATTTACTTTCAAATTTGGCTGGAATTTTTGACTTATGCGAATTCTTTTCTCGGTTACATTTTTTGTGAAGCATTTAATTCATTTATGGGCTAGTAACCTTGGATGGGATGAGTTACCCCAGCACGATATTCAGAGACTTTGGAGTAGATAAATTTAGCAGGTTCCCTCATTAAATCACTGCAAACTCTCGCGACATATTCCTCCAAAAAGGTACACCTCTTGTGAACTTCATGGATTTTGTGCCAGCTCTGAAAAGGGTTACTGCGCAGTGGTTTATCTAGTTTCACAATTTATTTGTAGTATATCGAAAGTTGCCCCACTTAAACGCATCTCTATTCCTAGGTTGGAATTATGCGCAGCCGTTTTATTGGCTCGCCTTATCTCTAATATAAGCAAAGTATTTGAAGACAAAATTGGGTTGTCAATTATATGCTGGGTCCGATTCCATGATTGTGCTCTTCTGGATTAAGTCATCTCCTCATAGGTGGAAAACGTTCGTAAATAATCGTGGGACGTTTATTCAAGGGATAAAATGGTGTCACGAACATTCTGAGCTCAACCCTGCTGTTTTGGACTCTAGAGGTATATTACCATCCGATCTGGTATCAAATGCTTTTTGGTGGGGACACCTCTTTTCTTACTTCCGGTCAAAACGATTGACCAGTATTAGTCGAAGCCCAATCTTCCGAAGAAGATTTGGTTTAAGAATGAACAATTTTATTGGCTAATATATTAGCTCCTCCGTGTGACGAATTAATTAATATTTTTCCTTTGATCGCTTAAAACGGGTGTTTTCTTACATTGTACGTTTTGTGCATTTATCCTTACGAGGAATACACGAATCAATGCAGATTTTGATTAGCCAACGCTCCTCCTTTAACGACGAATTTTAGCATGATATAAAAATAAAACCCCTTCTAAAGCTGTGCGAAAACTGTGTACTTTCTTAGATCCACAGGAGACTTGGGCAAGTTCTCCTTGCTTACGAAGGAAAATATCCAACTCTCTTACCTAGCAAAAGCCGCCTTACTGAATTAATAGTGGAATATATTCATTTGAAATATTTTCATGCAATTGTGCAAACAGTACTATTTTTGCTTTCCCAACGATATTGGGTTATCTCCCTTAAACGGTGCATTCGTAGAATAATTCACCGTTGTCTAACGTGTTGGAAAATTAATCCCAAATCAATTCAACCATTAATGGGTCATATAGCTCACGCTAGTTTTTCCCTTTCTGCATGCGGGTGTGGATTATGTTGAACCTCTAACCATTAAGATGTCTCGCATTCGTTTGTTACTCCGTGAAAGCTTTGCACTTGGAATTGGTGTCCGATCTTTAGACTTTAGACTTTTAGCTGGTTTACATCGCTTTTTAGCTCGTAGAGGTAGATGTGAACATATAGTGAGTGTGGAACAAATTTTGTAGGCGTTCAAAAGCAGTAAAATAGTTTTATGCGAGAGTCCGCCCTTCGGCTCCACATTTTGGTAGGTTATGGGAAGTGAGGGTGAAAGCGGTTAAAAGTCACCTTCACAGGGTCGTTGGTGGTCAGATACCAACATATGAAGAGTTGAACACTTTTATCCAAATTGAAGTCATTTTGAATATTCGCTCACTTACCCTTTTAAGTAGAGATCCCAACGACTTTTCAACTCTCACGCCAGGTAATTTTCTTACAATGAAACCCCTTATAGATCCCACTGAACGCGATTACACTTCGACTTCTCTTAGTCACAACTACTCCCGCGAATGCATCAAGATTTCTGGGCTCGGTGGTCTAAAGAATTTTTACATACGTATTATTGGCGTACCAAATGGTATACAAAATTCTTCTTCTGTTGTAATTGGTACGCAGGCCCTAATAAAAGATGATCTCGCCCAGCCAATATCGCGGTTCAGACGGTATAGTCAGAGTGGCTCTTGCCAAGACTTAAAGGGTACTGTGAAGCTCCCGGTTATTAAACTGTGTCCGCTACAAATAGCAGATTTAAAAAAATACTTTGTATTTTGGTGGGTTTAATTAATTTAATTTAGCCATTTTTCTAATGTTAGTTGTCCTAATATTAAAATGGAAAACAATTTACTACCATTACAATTTATTTTGACACTTAAATGATTTTAATTTCGCGGTAAGTTTTGAGGCCTGCACGCAAGTGCAAAGTGCAAGTTGTGGTTTCCGTTTTTTGGATTCAAAATTTATCGATCAATAGATAGAAAATTGCGGCAGAAACAACACGTTTTAATTCGTCGTTTGTGATTTCTTTCTTTACTCTTTCGGTCGTTTCGAGAGACTTTTATTTAGTGACTATATAATTAACAATTATCTGTAAGTGACAATTTAGAGCGTTCCAATCTCCCGGCCGGCTCTCCACATAATCCGGGACTATAAGTGCGATCAAATACATAAGTTAAGGCCTCAATTCGTCGATTTCCTATAATTTATACAGTCTACTTTTCTCGCCAATCTGGCTATTGTTTAGTTCGTCAACTTAACAAGTACTTTTGCCCATATACGTCTTCTTCTAGTACCCGTCAACTGTATCAGATGCCAAAGGTTTTCATTTTTAAAAATTGTCTTCAACTTGACTACATATAAATTGGTACCGCCATTTAAACCTTCTGTCTTCGATACCTATGAAACGAGTTAATTAAATTATTTTCGCTCCAGCAACGCACGTCTATGGTGTTCAACTTTGAACCAGCCCTCATAGTGGCAAGAAACACAAAAGGGGAAATTAAAATAAAAAATGAGCATCAAAATGTGAAAAGAGCAAAAAAATAAATTGGTGTTGCGCCTATGGTATATTACTATTTATCATATCTATGCTGAAAACAATAGACTAAAAATTAGAGTAAAATAAATGCAACCGGTATTGAGGGTGTATTATTTTTTGTCGCAACTAGTCCACAACAACAACAAAAAAAACACAATTAAACTCGTAGAACGCTTAAATCTAAAATAAAAAATAAGCCTTTTAAATTTTAATTGGTGCACATTTAAAAAAATAAACAAACAAACGTCTAAATGTATGGTCTATATAAACCTGTACACCATTCCTGGTTCCCTTTTCAATAAATATTTCAATTAAAAATCTGCGTCTGCCGGATATCATCGAACAAAAATCAGAAAAACCAGTTGGAAATTAGGACTTGCTTTCATATCAATCATAATTTATCACAGTTTCGAAGGGCCCTATATAAAACTAAGCATATAGATACGATTGTAAAGATTGTAAAAAACGGTTTAAATGATTTAATTTGAAAATTCCAGTGACGGTCCCGGTTCTTAAAATACTTACCCCGCATTAAGATTAAGCTAGGCAAATACTGATGAAGAACATACCAATAAAAAACTTTAAGAAAGATACATAAGTATTTGTTCACTGCTTCAAAAGCATTGCAAGGACTTCTTAATTCTCCCGTAATACTGCAGCATACTCTAAAAATCGGGACTTTCACATAACTCAGGTGTACCAAAAAAAACTAAAATATATTTTTTTTAGTCAAGGTGAATGGTGGCCAACCGTACGTCCAAGTCCGTTTATGTTACCTCATTAAGTAACTGTCGTTTCATCGCAAATGGATGATTGTAAAGTAGTAAAGGCGAGCAGACTTATTTACTGGCATATGACATCAATATAGATTTACCCAAGTGGAGTGAAAATCCTAGCAACAAACGAGCGCAATTCGACCGAACGGAAACCTGCAATGCTTTTCAAAAAGATGCTTTGCTGAAGCACTTTTCGTAAGACGTCAATATCAGTCGAATTTCGACAAATTTGTTTAAGACTATCAGCGCAGACCGGTAAATTAGCGTAATAATCATGTTTTTTCAGATTGGCGTTTTTGTGGATGTAAAATACATTTATTTTATAGTATTTGGCGCTGGTTTTTAAATTAGTTAAAAGTTTCTCTTAATATTAACAATTAAATTAAAGTAATTAAGCTCATGCAATACTAAACAAACTAAAATTATGGTTACAATTCATGGCATGCGTACTAATGCCACCAGTTTCAACTATAAAATACCACTGAAACTTGGCGGGTCTTGCTCCTTCTCAATTTACAAATGCGCATGATCAATAGCGTCGTAAAGACATGCGCCAAACTAGCAGTCGTTGGGTTAATATTTGTACAGCCGCATAGTTTATAGGAAAATAGGTTTTTGAATCGATTTAAACTGACCGAACGGTTTTTGGAAAATTCTACCCCACGAAAGCGCATACTTGGTTAAATTACCTTATAAGCGAGGGTTGACGTCAGTTAAAATAATCACGAAAACCGAAATTTCGATTGTCCGAGATTTACCACACTTCCTCGATCTGGTTTAAAATATTATTCTTCGTAGATCGATTGCGAGTGCCCGCCACACGCCATTACGGCGGACGCCAACCACACGGTGTACTACCAGACACGGCCATCGACTTTAACTAACGAATTCCTTACCCTGTCCACGTTCACTACTCTTCTGCAATATCACGAATCCGGCAAGTCGAACTACATTACAGTTTGAACAAACATTAACAACGTTTCACGCGTCCGCTGAGGATATTTTCTAGCAGCAAATTTTATCTATAGATGAATGAAACAAGACTTTCCGTCTTCCACAATCGGCAGTCGACTCAAACTGCGCACCCAAACGTCAACGAACGCTCCCGAAAACAAGCGATCGGGACCGAACCGTGCGCCGTTTGCCTGGTTTGGGAGCGGCTCGACAAAGTTTCACAGTCGACAACCGGAGGTTGGGGTAGGTTGTTTATAACGAAGCGGTTTTGTAATGTTTTGGGTTTTCGCGGAGTGCCAGAGGCACCAGTGCGCGGGTTCCTTTGTCTAGTATTTCATCCCGGTAACAGATCGATACCAGTGGTGTGCGTTTTTATGCGTTGTTCGAACAAGACGAAACGGCAGCCTTGAACGCTAAAGTAAAAAGATAATGGCGTGCTTTCCCCACGACTGTTACTCACAGCGTATATATGGTGCGAGCTCTTTCATTGCGACGAGGATGATCGCCAACGCGACTTGAAAACACTGCTACCATTACGATCATTGTTAAACAATTGACGATCGTTTCCATGGAAATTTAGCGGCGTGACACGGTTGACGTTTACTTATTAATGTACCAACCGTGTTTTTTTTTTTCTTCAAACCGTTATGCGAAAGTGGAAGTTATAAATTGGTGGTGGCAGTGGTAGGATGTTTTGGTTTTGTCCTTTAAACGTGGTTTCTGATAATATAGTCGTAATTGTGCCTATTTCCAATGCTGTCTCCCTGGTCGGTTGCCGAAAACGTTCGTTCGCTTATTAGAAAATACGGGTTGCTAATTGGCTGTAAAATGAAGTTCATTTTTAAAGGTATGACTATATTTCAAATGATCAGTTGCCATTGTTTAAAACTTTTGGAAATAATTAGACAAGTTGACAAATGATGTTTTTGTCTGATGGGTATTTCGCATAACCTTAAAGGTATTTATTCGAAACTTTGTTGTCGTCCCCATTTGTAAATATATTAACAATGATAAACAAAAATGACAAATGGGTATAATTCCGACGTTGGTAAATGAAAGTGTAAAGTATGCGGAGAGCGTATGTAAATTGTCGAATAAATTGTGCAAATTGAGGATCTTTATTCATTAAACTTTCCCCGAAACCGAACTTTGGCTAGAAAATACCCGGATTTCAGTCTCACGTACGTTCGCGACGTAGAAATATAAGGCGGCGAACGTGTCTAAACTCTGAAGGCTGTGATCTGGTTCACAGTGTGTCAGAAGATTAAATTCAAACCAATTTGTAATTTTTTAAGAATTTATTCAGAACACTAACAAAAGCATGTAAAAGTTTGCGCTGGCGAGGCTCCAAATCGTTCGATTTTCAATACTTAACCACGCTTTATCGAGAAACGGGTCATACGTTAAACAAACAAACGCGACCTTCGACGCATCGATGTTACCTCATTCACCATGCGCACCGATACTGTAACGAATCCTCTAAAGTTCTTTTCGACGGGAAACGAGGTGGGAAATTGTTAAAATAACATAGAAATTGCAAATTTTACGAAATGTTTGGAATATAAATGCAATGTAAAATGAACGCTCCATTTACAGTTCGCTTGCAATCTGAAATGGTTAGATATAGGGGATCCGATAATGGTATGAAATTTAATATTTCGTTTGCCAAAAACTACTTAAAAAAAAGTTTTACATTTGCTATTTGTGGCTACTTTTGATTCAAAGCAATCTTAGATTTTTTAAACTTAACCTAAATTTTTGTTCGAACTTTTTGAAACAATACTTCTGTCATTTTTTTGTTGTGACAGGCACAACAATTTGGACCTTTGAAACATTGATTTTTGCATTTTATATTATTTAAAATGGGGAAAAAATCGATTCTTAGTTGTGACTTTTTTTTTTTTTTTTTAATGAGAACTTTCCAGCTTATGTACTGTTATCTAAGACACAGTGTTGAAAGTAAGGCCTTTCTAATTAAGTATTGGTTTATCCTAGATCCAAACAATAAAACTTAATTAAAGGAAAGCCACTTTGGGTCTATTATTAGCTTTATTTTAATATTTATTAGCTCCGACATACAACCTGCTCCTAAATAATGAGATAAAAAGGTAAAAGAGCAGTTATCTAGAAAATTTGCCTTTCTGTTCAGATACGCAGCCAAAGACGGATAGTTTTTATTGTAGCGTTTATACAGGGTGTTTCAAAAGAAACGTGACAAATTTAAGAGGTGACTCCTTGATTAAAATAAAGGGTAAGGCACAAATATGGCACAAAAATAAAGTTTTTATTTTTTGTCTTAAAAACGAAAATAGATAGGACAATAAAATATTACTATTATTAAAACACTTTCTACATATTTTTTTAATTCTTCTAAATTTCTCTATCTAAATTCGAGTGTTCGAAGTGTTTTTGGAGCGCGAGCATTGAAAATGCCAAGTAAGATCTGGGCTAAACGTCTGCAGGATTCCATTCGGAACTCATGGAACGAGAGGATGTCGTTTTGGAGACCTTGCTCCGCGCTGGCAATTGTTTTTAAACGGCCCCCAAATAAATCCCAATAGGCGGGATTCGAAATTGACTGTTCAGCGTCGCGCCATCTGTTAGAGGGAGGAGCGGAACAGACCACGCGATTTCAAACTTTTCCGCGCCAAATGAAACCAACCCCCGCCAATCTTTAATCGATTTATTACAGTTTCGAAAGAAATGTCAAATAAGTATGCGACAATTTCATATTTACAAGAAAAAAAAACCATTTCACAGTTTCTCTTTAGATACGATCGGTTCCGGACTTCTGCCGCGGCGTCGTTGACGATCCAAGGAGAAAAAAAACCAAGACGGAGGAGGAGCGGTTCGAAAGTGCGCCGTTGGAATGTTCAAGAGAAAGGAACGCATTTTCGGCGCTTCTTACACATTTACTTTTAATATGTATTTTTCATAGTAATCTTTCAAAACGGTTACAATTATCAACACGTACACCAAAATGAAACGGAAAATCCTGTGCAACATCAAACCGAACGTAAAAATATTTTTCATCCCGTTACAAAAAAAAAAAATCGTTCCTCGAAAAGCAAAAATTTCCTCTTTAGTTTGAGACGGCCCGACTATTATCATCTATACAAAACAAAATGGATGCCTGTTCCCGACCCCTCCCCGCCCCCCGGCTATCACAAAGAGCTTCGGCTATTTACAAGACCGGGGACGACGACATCAGGACCAGTGGCGTCGGTTTTCCGTTCTCACCTCCTGGGGGTGGGGGGAAAAATTGACAGGTCACCTACTATAGGACTTACGAACGTTTGGGAAATGCTTTTCCCGTCGTTAACAATGGCGACCTGGAACAAAAATTGACAAGATCAGAATTATAGTGGACTTAAAAATTGGATGCATAAAAAAATTGTTTTAAATGTCTCGAAACTTTCTGCAACACAAGTTATCGCTAAGTCAGGTAAAAGGGTAAACAGTCAAACTACGAACGTCAAAAGCGTCTTGTTCAAGCAAGTTTAAAAGCACGAATGACAAAAAACGAAAATAATTAATAATATTAAAATTAATAACAAATGGGTGAACTCAAATAACAACAAAAACTATTACAAAATTAGTTTATTCGAGGGTAATTCAATTAATGGAGATAACTTGAAATATGTTAGTAAAATAAAAGATCTAGGTGTCATTTTCGATGAAGGTTTAACTTTTGTTGATCACATAAACACAAACGGTTGGGTTTTGTTTTTGTTTTAAGAACCAATTTTCTCTTGATGCAGTGAGAGGTGTTTACTGTGCATTGGCGAGGTCTAAACTGGAGTATGGTGCAGTTTTTCTCCATACCATACTGTCCATGGCTGTACAGTGGAAAGGGTTCAACATAAATGTCTCTGTTTCTGTGAAGAATCATGGTACTGTCAATAGTACAATCAACTGTTCTGATTTGTTCGAAGTAGTTAATGTCGAAATAGTCACTAGAAATAGAAGAAATAATTTCAGATCCTTTTACATCGTACAAACTAGGGCTTCAATGTTCATATGGATAGATACTCTAGAGCTGTTAATGAGCATCAGCTAAAAATATTCGGTATTTGTGGAAGTCAATAGGAAAGACAATTCCATAGATTACACTTTTAGTTTGCTTTCTGCTAGATGATCCGTTAATTTAAGTGACGCTATGTATTAATTTTTGGTGATTTTGCATAAGCTTATAGAATAGAACAATTTATTTAAAAAAAAAAACATGTATACTTATCGAAAAAATAGTAAGTAGTACATATATAGACAGATATTACACTTGTACCATAAGTTAAAATTTACGACGCTGGTGACACGGAAATGTTGAGTGGTGAATTGAACATAGTTTATGGCAATTAAAAATAGAAAAAAGAATATACTTTGAGGCAATTAAAAATGTAAAAAAGAACGTTTACCAATGGTTGGTTAGTTTGTTTGTAAACTATTTCTATTTCAAATTGTTTAAATGTGTGTGGTGTTTTGGTTTTTTATATTAGTTTAATGCATTTAATTACATTTTTCAGGGTTGCGCTGTACCTATTTGACGTTGCTTTGTCGTAGTCGGTAATACACAATATTATTACTATTACTATTATTATATTTAAGTTTCAATATTGAGTAATATCATTTTCTGCATCAATTTAAGAGAGATTTTTTCACAGAATTAGTCCCGGAGATATTCATGAATTTGAGTTTTGCATAAAGGACTTTTCTTACTTTTTCTTTGAATTGCTTACGCTTTACAACCTTAAACTCAATTGGAAGTTTATTATATAGTAAGTATTTAATAAGCATTTCTGTCATAAGTGGTGATAGAGTTACTAAAATTATAAAAATGCTTATATTATATATTTAAAATGTGAACTTAAGAACTTTAAAAACTAAGGAAATGTTGTTTACATTTATATTCTGTTCAGGTTTATTATTCTAATAGCTCTAGTACTAATAGATTCCAGCCCCCAAGAAATAATTGCATACGAAATATGGTGAAAAAAGCAGTTCTTAGAGATCTTTCTTTGAGAGTCTAAAAACTCCAAGTAAAACCCTAAACATTTAGAGTTTTTAGTTACTCCAACACCATAAGAAAATGTTTTACCATAGCTGGAAGCATCGTCAAAATTTAGAATTTGAGTTTTATCGAAGTTTATATTAATTATGTTTGCTGAACACTAGACTTATAGATTCCTGAGGCAGCTATTTATTTTAATTGGTCTTGGAGGATAAAAGGGTAGCATGTAAATCAAAAATAGCAGGTACTCCAAAATGAGTCCCTGCGGTACCCCACTATATGCTCTAATTCCAACGTGAGATAATTTTTCTAAAAGTACCGAGAAGTCGCACTTTAACCTAACCGCCAAAATTTCCTTTTCATTCCAGAAACTACCTCAAACATCGGAGTATTAATTGATTTGTTTGTTGATTTACATGTTTGAATATTGTGAAAATGTCTAACAAAAAAACAATACAAATGCGTTTCTGGTTTCACCTCAATTTTGTTATTTAAATGGAACTCCATCTATATGATTTGTTGAATTTTTGGACTCACTAAACAATTCTAAACAACGTTTGTCTAACATAACTTCATGTAGAAAATCAAATCAATGGTTTTTGAAATAAAGCCTTTAAAAAATATGCCATATTTCTAGGATTGTTTTATTTTATGAAAAAACAAAGTAGGGCAGAACAAAAATATTACTTAATCCTCCATCAAAGCGAAATTCAATAAAACATCAAAAACAAAATTTGTAGCCACTTATAAAAAAAAACAGTTATCGCGAATCGATTTGATTACGATAAATTCAGCTTCCATAAACTGCTGCAAAATTGACAACAACATACCCTTTTTTGACTTTGTGAACAATTGTAAAAATTCCGGACGCCAAGGATTGATTGAACAGAATAATAAGTGCATCAGCTACAGCTTCAGATGTCAAACAGCATTACCCAAGATGTTTTCGAAAAATGAAATTAAATTATATAATGAAAATTGGTGATTAAAGAGATATTTTTTGAAAATTATAAAAGATTTTAAAATGGGGTTATCGGTACAGTTAGAAGGGAAAAGAAAATATACTCTAACAGAAAAAATAAAGAAATGTGGTCTACTTTAAGAGAATTAGAGTTCATACCAGCAGATCGTGAAAGTCAAGAGTTCTATGAAAATAATGTAATGTTTAATTTTAACGTGTAAAAGAAATTGAAATACTTGAAATTATTAATAATATTAAAACCAAAGCTTAAGTTTCTTCTATCATTTTCGCTACCATACTTTACCCATATCATAAATTTCTGTCTCGAAAAATCAGAATTTCCTCGCGAATGGAAGAAGGCTAGAATTCTACCACTACCCAAGTCTTGCTATAGTTGAGAACCTTCGACCAACATTTGCCAACGTCATAGAGGAAACGGTTGAATGACAACTGGTTAGCTACTTAAACAAATTTAATATAATCTCCGAAAAGGAATCGGGATTTAGACCTAATTACATCTGTTGCTGATAATATTTTTAAGTAGAAAAATATTATCAGCAACAAAAATAAACAGAATAAAATTTATGCAAACCCACAATTATGTATTAAATATAGAAGGTGAACCAATACGCTTAAAATATCGAATACAAAATTTAGTTCCTTCCAGTTCACCCAATGGAAATTTTCAAGCGCTCGTATTCGTATTGCGTGACAAAAGTACTTCATAATCTACCGAATAAATTTAAAATATTAAAGAATAAATATGCTTTCAAGAAGCAGCTGCACAAACCTTTGTTATCAAAGCAATAGTTTTCTGATTTAAGCAGTTAGTGTCCAACTTAACATGTAATACCGGTCCATAGCAAATATTGTAAATGCTTTCAAATGCACATATATATGTAAATAATAGGTTTAGTGTCCATAGCAAATATTGTAAATGCTTTGAAATGCACATATATATGTAAATAATAGGTTTAGTGTAAAAAACATGGACTCCTCTAGCGTCGGTTGTTTATATATCAAACTCACTAACGTTTCGCGAATTATCCTGTTGGCTTCTTCTTCGGAACTGGCTCGCATTCTACTCTGTACTTGCTTATATTTTGTTTAAGGGGGCGGAGTTAAAGTAGGAGAAGAACATTGACTTGGATGACTGATTCCCATATTGGTGAAAGGTAACAACCTCAGTCATGGTTCAGATTTATACAGATTCTACAGATTACATGCATGAAATTTAATTTTAAAGAATAAGATTTGACGCCCGGTTTCGTTACTATGTTAGGTAACTGCTGATGAGTTGGTCTGTTGTTGAGAGATTTTTGGACAAGTGGTAAATTTGTTTCGACGTTATATGTCTTGTGTTTGGAGGTAAGTGGCAAGTGTGGGGTTGCTTTAAGACTCATTGTCTTTGAAAGGTTGTGATGAAGTGTATTTTGTGATTTAACGTTTAATATCTTCCATAATTTTAGTTTTAGAGGGAAGGGGTCGAGGGCCTTCTTTTCAAATACTTCCATAAATATATTTGCGATGACTGGTGATAATGAATGAATCCCTAGCAGTTCCCGACGTTTGCTCATAAATTTGACCGTTACAAGAAACATATGTTCCAGACAAACATTTTTCAATTAAGATAAGGAGTTTTGGTATTCTGGTTTCACTAGTGTTGATCTTTGTTTTTCAAATGTAAGTCTGGGTAAAAGATAAAAGACGATTGTCGTGTTTGAAAGGGTATCGAACTCTGATGGGGACCAGATGGAAACAATCTTAAGATGTAGAAAAAGGAAGAGTCTTATTGATTTGGTTATTTCTTTACGGGTATGATGAATTCTTTCTCAAACTTAACATTATGGTCCCTATAACATAACAAACCAGCGAGCCAGTCCCAGTTTAGCTCTGAAGAAGCCAACAGGATGATTGGCAAAACTTTGGCAAGTCCGATTCATGAACAACCGACGCAAAAGGAATCTAGAAGATTTCTAAATAGCATTACAGTTACAGTTTCTTTCTAAAACCTTTATTATTATTATTATTATTATTATTATTATTATTATTATTATTATTATTATTATTATTATTACAAACGAGGTCGGTTGAAAAGTGAACTCCACATAAGACATGGAACTGGGAAGAAATTAAAATATATTTGACCAATTACCTGTTTGAAACCAATCCATTGCAGTACAATGAACATTTCCATGGATAATCAAGTAGTATTATTCCATTTTTTTAAAAGAAATAAACGCTTATTATCAATTTTGGTAGGAATGAAGAATAAACAAATAGGAATTTATTAAACACTAAATAAATTTGAAATACAACAGTAACAATTTATTGCCTATAAGTGTCCTCGGGCAGATAGAAAACGTTAATGGCATTACATTATTCTTATAGTCACGACCATTTGTCGTGTCTCGGAAGTTTTTATGTACTAGGTTTGGCAGTGTCTCGATAAAAATCTACAACATAAACCCAGGCTCCACCACTCGCAAGTCTTACCGTTGTCGGCGGTCGAGGGGTAACGCGCGGAGCCCGACACCTAATTGTGGACGGGCGGAGCCGCCTGACGCTCGATTTCCTCGAGGCTGAGGGCGTGGCGCGCCAAATTAGCAGTGCTGGGCAGTTTGCCCCCGCGCGCCCTCTCCAGCAGGTCGGGAGAGAACCAGCGCGCCAGCTGGTTCGACGTAGTCGGCGAGAGGGCGCCGTCGTTGCGAGAGATCGCCGACGGGTTGGCTGGGCGGCCGCCTATAACACCGAATGGAATTTAGATTTATTTATTCACTCAATAAATTCAAATAAAATAATTTATTGGCTAAACATGTATCACCAACACATTTAAAGTTGTCAACATGAGTTTATATGTTACCGTGAAAGATCGGAATTTGTGATTGTTGACATACACCAAGGATTAATGTCAACAGACGCCAAATGAATGGGTCGTTTGCGCGGACTGTCATTGGGCTATTATTACAGTATCTTAATTTTATAGTTTGTGAGCTTGTAATTGTTGTGTGCAATGTGTAAATGAGTTCTGAGCTTTGGTTCTACAGAAGGATTGCTAATTTTTCCCTGGACGGCGATAATTACGAATGATGAGCGAGAGTTCCTATATATAATGAAAGCTAGAAAAATAACATGTCTAGCTCACCTTCTTAGACACAAAAAATATAAGATACGCCAGCTAATAATTGAGGGAAAGCTGGAAGAAAACGTCTATCTTGGATGCGCAACATCAGAAACTGCACTTTGAACAAGTCATTTGAACCGCACAAGATAGACATGCATTTGCCAACGTGGTCGCTGACCTTCACTGAGCACGGCACAGAAAAAGAAAAGGTCTTTATTATTTCAAGGTTATATTTCACCAGAACTGTGAGCTTTGTGGGTATATAAAATAACAGGAGGAAAACGTCGATCGCTACTCACTCTGCTGCTGGGCGGCAGTATTGAGAAATTGCTGCCACGCCGCGTCAGCGGTACCGTTGTTGCCCTGCTGCTGGAACCCCTGCTGCTGCTGCTGCTGCGGGTTCCCGTTGCTCTGACCCTGCGGCTGCTGTTGCTGCGGCCTGTGCTGATGCTGCGCCCTCAACTGTTGCTGGGTGAGCTGCTGTTGCGAGAACGACTGAGGGTTAGACTGGTACTGCGCGGAGGAGCTCCCGTACTGTTGTTGCTGCTGCTGCGCAGCCGGATACTGCTGTTGCGAAACCATCGGCTTTCGTTGCTGCAGCTGTTGCTGACTGTTCAGCGACATGTTAGACTGGTTGTACAGGCGCTGTTGTTGTTGAGCTTGCGAAAAAAACTGCTCGGCTGTCTGGGTTTGATAATTCGCGTTCGCTTTTACGATCGGACGTCCCTGTTTCACGGGAAACTGCTGGCCGCTCCACTGCTGCGCGGACACCTGCTGCTGTTGCGGACGCATCCCGCCCGTGAGCGGACGTCCGATTGGTTTCTCGCCCGAAGCTTTGTTCTCCTTGCCCTCGTCCTTGTCGGCGGTCATCTTACGCAGCACCGACGTCGGCGTGAACGCTAGAGGGGTGGGCGATGCGACGCTTTTAGGCGACGCCTGCGCGCCGGAACTGCCCGGGTTCGGGCTCGCGCCACGTTGCATCTCCTGCTTCTTGCGGTAGTTCTCTGATTGTTCCTCGAGTTTCTTCTTGATTAGCGCCCTCTGCAGAATGTTTTGGGTGTGGACTTGGAGCTCGCGCGGCGATGGGATCCTCTGGTGCATTGCTAGACGGGCGAGGTACAAGAAGAAAAGCGGCCATTATGAATCGGATCGTAAAATGGGGGCGGAATCGTTAAAAGGGTTGACGGTTAAGGTAGCACTCACCGGGAACCGCTAAGGTATTGGGGCTCGTGGCCATAATGGGTGAGACGCGGTAAGCTGCTTGTAATAAAATTCGTAAAATGGTTTAGTAAGTGGCATCGTGGCGAGGTGAGATCGAGGTGGGCGGACGAGTTGCGAAAGCGACATTTGGCGAAATGAACTAATTTAACGGAGGATGATTAGTGCATGTCAGTGCATAACCTACACAATGCAAATACAAACTTTTTGACGAGATATACGTGCCATATAGGGGTGAGAACTTTTTTTATTCACGAAAATTTCCGTTCCAAAAACACCATCGGGGTACTTTTTCGAGTCAAACTCAGCGAATTATTTTCTATAGTTCTCTGATTTCGAAATAAGCGTTACTCTGGCGCATTTTTTATATTGTATGACCTGGGACGTTGGTATGATGGTTGTCGAACATCGACTTTCAACACTAACTGTTTCTTGGCCCCTTACAGTTATATACAGAAAAGTTGAAGAGAGGTTAAATATTTTACACAATTAAAATTTCGAAATTTGCGAAAAAACAATAGCACTTTTGGTGGCTCATTCAAAGTAAACAACAAAATTTGCAGTCAGTTGCGCGCATCTCTTTAACAAATAATATTCGTTGAGATACGTCCCGAGACGGCACTGGACTTTACAACTTCTATCTAGAGTCAGTACGATTTGCGATATCATAGTCTGTTATAAACCGAAGAGAGAATGTGCCTCAATATTTGATCTGCATCCACTCGTTATACTAAGAATGACAAAACCCACCCATTTACCTGCCAGTGTTCTACCTTGGTCTATTACGGCCCAGTGTCGTCCACTAGACAGAGGTAACACCAATAATAATAATAATTACAAAACAATTGGCTGCACAGTAAGCGAATTAATTATCCCGAAAATAGTCTAAAATGTGAGTTGTTAAAAATCGTCAATAATTAAAAAACAAACTTGCCATATTCTACAGATGAAATAATTGCTGAAATGGGTCACCAAGTTTTAAGATTGCCTCCTGGCCTTTGTATATGCTACAGAACTGGTGTGGGCTCAATGCAAAAAAAATTTTTTAATAAAAATATTGTAAGTGAAGCAAGGTACGATGATACCGCAGTAGTATCTATTTGGAAGGCAAGAATAAGAATCATTTTCTGGTAGTGCCAGTTCCAATTTTGGCTCGTAAATACAGACTAAATATGATTGTGTATGTCGGAGATCGTAAAATAATCAAAATAATAAAATAGAAGTCCGGTGCGGCGGCTTCTGATGGCGAGCGAGGCGACATAGGGTTAAAGACTTCTCGGGTATATTAAAAGATTGCACATAATACAGTGCTTAAAACCAATGAATAATCGAATTCCGTAATTGATTATTAAAGGGAATCCAACAATCCGCGATCCGTTAGATCAACTACAAAATAGCCAATCAAAAATTAACTATCCGAGCTACTCAAAATCCGACGTAACTAGTGCTTCTATAAAGCCAGACTATCTTCACCGGTTGGCGCTCCACTTCGGAAAATGCCAAAGTAAGTTCCCATGGGTCCACAATATTACGAATGACTGAATTATAACTGTTTAGTCTAGACCGATAAATAATACCAGTCAAAAATAAACAAACCACAACAAACACGGCCAACCCAAAATATGGGAGAGTATGAACTACTTAAAGCTACGGTCGCCCACATATATTTACTATATTTTTTAAATTTTCCGATTTTTTTGCTAGTGTTTTAATTTTTATGACGTGTTTATTACAAATTATCTTTTTTTTTTCATGTAGATTCACCTACTTAAATATTCACATATCATTAAGGAACAGCCTCATCTATTATTGCATAGAAAATACATGAATTCACTTCTGAGTATCGGCTTACTAGTTAAATGAATAAATGCTAAGTGCAACTGATTCTGATCGTTAGTGACGGCTGTCTTGCATTGATCAGATAGCCATTTAGGGCGGAACATCTATTAAAGTATAAGTGGAAGCAAGATGAATAATCTATTTTATTCTCTCTGGCATTTTATTGTCGACTCTGCCATCACAAATCGTACCGACTATAAATTATGACGTTGCTAGACTTCAACAAAATTGATAATTTTTCAACCAATAAGAAGTTCAAGTGTCCACTACGGGGCGCTCATCGGGGTCAAGCATATAGCTATTCGATAATAGCTACCGTAAAAATCGATCAGCATCGATATTTTCGTAGAGAAGATAAGGATTTTCAGCGCATGCCTCTACATTTTATCCGCTGAAATACATTTTGAATAGTCCTATAAGCTACAAGGGAAAGTTCAAAATTGGCGATTTTGGGAATCCTTTCCCATCGCGCTTTAACAGAAATAAAATGACGAGTTCATTATCAAGGTCACGATCTTCAATACGCCCCTGATTTTTTTCATACTATTGTTTTCGATGGTTCAATTTTCATTTTGCTCGCATGTTAAAAGGGGGTGGGGGGGGACACCAAACAAGCAAGCAAGCACGAGCAAACCGAAGCCAAGCGGTGCGACCGACTCACCGTTGGGCGGCAACGGCGATACCCTGAGCTGTTGCTGCTGCTGCTGAAGTTGCTGTTGCTGTTGATAGACGTGGTGGGGCGGCGGCGGCGGCGGTACCGGGCTGAGCACTCGCGGGCTCACCCCGTACCCCCCGCCGCCAGCGTTGTTGCCATGCAACTTGAGTATCGAGATCAGCATGTCGCGATGGCGAGGTTGCAACGCTGGATTCGCCAGTTGCTGGTGCAGATGCTGAGTCGTGATCTCGTACCGTTTCAGACCTTCCCGTTCGGTTGCAATGATTTTTTTTTTAGTTTTTTTTTGTATTTTGAAAAAATGATTACGAATCAAATGCGTGCTATAACAATGTCAAGCCCGGCCCGGAGTTCATGACTTAATGGTTCTCGAAGTTGAATAGTCCAAACGACCAACGCGGAGGTTCCTATTAGAAAATTAGGACGTTGCCAGATGAGTCAACTGCGTATCCTTCGGGTCTCAAATACTGAGTAGTTCAAGTGAACTGACCAAAAACTTTCTATTTAACACTGTTTTGTAATTTCATTTTGATTATTGAACAATTAAGCTAATAATTTTTAACTCTGTTTTTACATAAAGGTACGTACGTATTATACTAACAGTCGCAAAACTGGCATTCGCTTGGTATAAGTGGTTCAACTCGGTTATTATTGAGACTTAAAAAATGGTATACATTTTGAACCGTATCTATAGTTCCTAAACTACAAAGGGGAGTTGAAAAATATGCGAATTTACTTGACGCGTCTCCTTAAAATGGAAGATAACAAAAATCGAAAGTTTGAGTTTTTCCTCAACATTGTCAAAATCGAGATCTGAAACGAAGGTTTTTCTTTTTTATTTTTATTTTCTCCATACTATTATTCTTAACATTTTAAACAATAAATTTATCATTTAAAATAACACCTCGTAATGTAACGGTTATTCTTATGGGAAATTGAATGGCATCTGTAGAGAAAAGTGATGAATTGACTCCTTCCTGGAAAATTAATTTTTACATCGCAGTTTTTTAAAAGCAGTAGGAACGATGCATAAAATATTTATATTTAAAGTTTTGTTTTTTAGAAGTCGTCATCAAACCCAGGATCTTAAATACGGACCTGATATTTTTTGCATTATCTTCGTTTCGGAAGCTTCCTGTGACGATTCGATTTAAATTTTATTTTTTACGTATTTTGAAAAAGTTTAAATGAAAAAAACATGCAAAATCGAAATATCTTCCATATTAGGAAATTTAAAAGTGGCACTTTTTCAAATATCCCTCGTAGCTCAGCCGCAAAAGGGACGTACCGCTAAGTAGTTTCGATATCCACAGTACTTCAAAAATTACGGGCGCTTAAAATCTACACCGTTTAACATAACCGAACCCCGACTAGAGAGACCAAATGACCTTCGAGGGGGCGAAAATTGAGGAAAAAAAAGAGAAAAAGTCACCTTGAAGGATCGCTTGAGCCTCGGGCCTGTTAAGCAGCTCCCTGCTCTGCTGCACGCCCATGTCCATCAGCGGCGACGCCCTCATCTGCGGCGCCACTCCCGCGTTGATCAGCTTGTTGAGCATCTCCATCTGTTGCTGTTGCATGGCGGCGGCCGCGGCGGCCGCCGCAGCAGCTGCTGCCACGTTCCCTCCCATGCGTTGCTGGTTGATCGCGGCCGCCATCCTCGCCTCGTCCTGCTGCTGCGAGTGGCTGAGCATCTCCAGGAGGCTCATCGGTTGCTGTTTCTGAATCGGGCCGTTCTGCGCCTGCGCCAGCAGCCTCTTGAAAGAGGCGGCCATCTCCTTATCAGGTTTTGGCTGCTGCTGCGGCTGTGCCTGCAGCTTCGTATGGGCCGCGTTTGGGGCGACCGGAGCTTCAGGATTTTGACGGATCTTCGCCTCTAGCTCATCCAAACTCAGAATCTTACCGGGGACAGCTGAAAACCACACGCAGCACGGTAAAATCAAGCGTTTTTTGGGAAAATAAAAATGTGCGGTAAACCGCAGAGGGAAGAACGTACACCGTAATTCTTTGAATTGTTTTCAGCGTGGAATTATTCACTGGAATTCCTTCGAAATTAATTAAAAGGCCTTTGAAATGTCTCCAAAATTAGTTAGATGCCTCCGATATTGGTTGGAATTCCTTCCAAATTAGCTGAAATTCCAATCGAACTTCTGAAATTAGCTGGAGTTCTACCGAAATTAGTGAAAATTCTTAGATGGAAGTAATTGGAATTCCTTCAAAATTGGTTGGAATTACACTGGATTTTGTTAAAATTCCCCAGAATTAGTGGCAATTAAATTCCTCCAAAATTAGTTTGAATTGCATTTAAATTCTTATGAAATTAGTTGGAGTTCCTTCTAAATTAGTTGAAATGCCATTGCAATTCCTCCAAAATTAGTTGCGATTCCTCAGAAATTAGTTTGAATTCCTTTGACATTAGCAGAAATTCCACTCGAACTCCTCCTGGAATTCTACCGAAATTAGTGCAAGATCTTCCAAAATTAGTTGAAATTATTCCGAAATTAGTTGAAGTCGCATTGTAATTCTTCCAAAATTGGTTGGATTTCTATGAGAATTTATTAAAATTCCACCGAAATACTGGGAATTCAATTCCTCCGATATGAGATAGAATTGGAATTCTTATTAAGCTCCTCTAAAATAAGTTGAAATGCCATTGGAATTTGTTGCGATTCCTCCGAAATTGGTTGGAATTGGTTCGAAATTAGCTGTAATTCCACGAAAACTAGTGGAAATTCCTCCGAAATTAGATCAACTTCTTCAGAAATTTGTTGAAATTCGACTGGAATTCCTCCAAAAATAGTTGAAATGCCATTTTAATTCATCCAAAATTGGATGTATTTCCACTGGAACTGCACTGAAATTCTTATGAAATTAGTTAAAATTCCACTTGAACTCTTTCGAAATTAGTTGGAATTCCACTAGAAGAAACATAAAAACTATGATTTCGGGCGAAAGGCATATGTTTAAATTGTGAAGAGCGAGGTTTTTTGCGAATTAACAGTGACGTTAGATTTAACGACATTTTCTAATTTCTTGATTTAGCCCAGAATACTATGAAGTTCATATTCAGTAAATCAAATTGGTTAAGTTCTTCAATTTTATATAAAATAAATTGTTATGTTTTTTTTATTATAATTAACTAACTGAACAATAAATCGTTACCTCTCCCCCTTTTGCGCCCAGAGATTCTCTAAAGCGAATTCCACAACACCTCGTATAATTTCCCTGTCTACCCGCCCGAGACTGACCTGGCTGCTTGCCCTGACCGAAATCCCTGCCGATGTCTGGCTTGGAGCCCATCTGGAGCATCTCCATGATGTTGAGCGACTGGCCTACGCCGCGCTGCAGGTGTTTCTGGCCGAACGCGCCCACATTGGTACTCGCGGCCGGCGATATGGGCGCGAAATACGAGTCCGAATCGCCGGGCGGACGGACGCCGATGGTGACCGAGCCCGACTCGTTAATGTCCTTCAGCAGGTCCTTAATGATATGGTTGTCCTCCTGCATCGACGAGCGGCAGATCGACTCCGCCCGTTCAGGGCTGTCCTTTTTGAACCATCGACTGAACCGCGACGTGCCCTTGTCGCCTTCCCCGCCGACCCCGTTCTTTAACGCAAATCGTTAGCGTGTACAGGGTGTACATTTAAAATTCGACAAAAATTAGAAGCTACGAAGTTTACAAGATATTTTTTCTGTTCCGATCCCGTCTTATGTTATTCTAATAGGACAAAAAACTGTTCTTAAAGCTTTTGGAAATAAATATTTGAGTTTAAGCTTTACACCTAGTAAAACAGGGAAAACAATTTTATTTCTACACATCTCGATGACTTTTTAGTTTGAAAATACATGATTTTTAAAAGGTTTTTTTTTTCAGTTTGTGTTTTGAAGGTCATTTTTGATCATAATTATAATTTTTTTTTCATGACTGAGGTTGACTTTAATAATATATGTAAGACATGTTTTGGGTAATTTTTGAACAATTGATTTGATAACTGAAGTAGACACCAAGGCTGCCTTTAATAACATAAAACATCTCTCAAAGACATACAAAATATTTTATCATTATAATTTTACTTTTCTTAAAAATAAACACCAGAGCTGAACTTAGTAACATAAGATATCAGAAAAATATCGAAATGTTTTTGGGTAATTTGTATACAATTAGGATAACTGAAATAGACACTAAACCTGACATAAACATAATACGTATCAAAGATAACAAAATATTTACGGATCATTTTTTTATTATTATAATTTTATTTATTCTTGTATTTGCATATGTTTCAATAACTGAAATAAGAGAGAGTTGGCATGATCTTTATGTTTATCGCATTTGCATAAGCTTCAGTAACTAACATAGACTCCGAACCTGAGATTTGAAAGAAATCGAAATATTTTTGTAAAATATTTAATATTTTTTAATAAAATAAATAAACTAAAAATATTTTGGATTATTTTTTTATTATTATAATTTTACTTTTATTACATATGGTTCAGTAACTGAAATAGATACCGAAGGTGCCTTGAGTAAGATAAGACACTTGAAAGACATCGATCTACTTTTGAATAATTTTAATAACTGAAATATCGGAAATGACTTTTAATAACATAACAACATTTCTTTGTTGTTCTGATTTAATTTTTTCGCGCACTTGCAAATGCTTCAACAATTAAAATAGATACCAAAGCTGCGTAAGCTGCTTAAGGCAACTGCAAGACATCGAAACGCATTTGTTATTATAATTTTATTTTTATTATTATAATTTATTATATTTCATTTTCGTCAATCACTGAAATACAGAGTAAAGCTGCCTTGAATAACTTAAGACATCGAGATGTTTTTGGGTCATTCTTGCACTATTAGGACTTTTATTTTCTATCGCACTTTAGACACCGAAGCTGTCTTCAGTAACATAAGACGATATCTCAACGATAACAAAACATTTTTGATCTTTTTGTATTATTATAATGTTACTTTTTCTTGCATATGTTTCAATAACTAAAAGACACCAAAGCTGCCTTTAGTAACATAAGACATCTGAAAGACATAAAAACATTTTTGTATAATTTTTTGCTATTCCAATTTTATTTTTTTGCGCTGCGTTTAATAATATAACACTACTGCAAGACACCGAAACGTGTTTGTGTTGACCGAAATGAAGACTACTTGAGAAACAGACATCCAAAAAGCTACGAAACGTTTTTGGATCACCTTCGTGCTAGTTACGTATAAAATTTAGTAACCCTTCCACTTACCGCCAGCAAACCGGTGATGTTCTCGCACTTGAGGATCTCCTCGAAACTGTAGGAATGTTCGTTGGGCGGCCGATGGTCATCGGCGACGCCCGTTTCGTCGGCGCCTTCCTTGGTGGACTTTCCTTTCTGCTGGTCCATCTTGGCGCAGTCGTGCGGGTTCGGCGTGGACCTGCCCTTCGGCTCGCTCTTGTCGCCCTCCGCCCTCTCCTCCGCGATGGTCATCTGCTGCTGCTGCTGCTGCGCCTCTGCGTTCTTCTTCTTCGACCATTCTTTGGCGCGCTCATTCGCGCGTTTTACCTGCGATGACGACTTCTTCTTCAGCGGTTTGTCGGCGTCGTCGAAACCGCGCAGCTCGATAGTGTCATTCTGGGACATCGGACCCGATGAGAACCATTCGGGTTCTTCGTCGCGGTTCACCTCCGAAAAACGACGCCGCTCGCTGTAGCGGCCGTTCCTCCTGCCGCCGCCTCCGCCCTCCTTCTCCTTTTCCCTGGAACGCGAGTTCGCGACACGTTTTACCATAACCCAGGACGAATATATGAAAAATCTCCCCTTTGCATTTTACATGGTTTAGTGATTTATTTATCTATTTAATGAAATTCACAACAATATTGGCACCGAAAATGGTACGCATATTTCGTCAAAAAGACCTGTCAGAGCAATTGCGTAGTTACGTCATAGCATGATATCATTATCTAGTTGTCATTCAATATATTATTTGTCCATGGTCAGTTTTCAAAATCCCCCAACGTTTTGGTGAAAAAGAGCAAGCAGCCCTAATTTTAAAACTTGTGGATTATTTCGCTCGAGAAAAAAATGCAGGGGAACCGCAGTGTTTTAAGATGGTAATATCTAATGAGACAACCTTGCTCAAAAATGATTGACTTGATGCTTTGGGAAAAACTAACTTATGTAACTTTTTTTAATTTAAAAGATTGTTTAGTCAACAGCTGTTGCCCAGTCTTAGTGAACCTTGATTCATAATAATTGTCAATGCATCGTATCACTGTGGACTTGCTGCATCAATAGCTAATCAAAGTTGGGACCAAGCAGTCTCTCGTCGAGTTTAATGAAAGGCCAGCTATGGATGTAAGTGAAGCAACACTTGGCAGAAAAACTGCATAGTTCGTAAGTATTTTTCTTTGAATATGAAATTTTTCAAAATATAATCTTTTAAGAATAGAAAAGTTGGCATTTCTGGTGCGTTTTGCCGCTTCCGCCTTGCCTTATCATTGAATTGAATCATTGAATATGATGCCCAAATGGGTTCCATCAATCTTGTAACTGCTGTACTGTGTTTATGGACTGCACTTGCTAAAGTAAAATAATAATAATACTTCTGATGGGGTATTCATAATACTTTGTTTCAAGTTTCTCCCGAAAAAATAGAAGAACTATTGTAGGCACACAGACTGCCTGATAGGTGAGGCTTGGGATGGGAAAAGTTGACGAAGTTGTTCCATAAAGTGGATGGACACAGATCCAATTCCTGTGCTCGATGGAGGATGAACTCATTCGAGTCTTCCTCAATGCTACGCTCTACAGCAGCAATAGCTTTTTCTGTACGCACCGTACGGCGTCTCTGGGGATGCGAGTTATCAATAAGAGTAAACGTGGTGCGAAAACGTTCCATGGTTAATCGAATTAACTGCTCTGATGGACGATTTTGTCGACGATAAAATGGACGTAGTGCGCGATACGTATTCCGCACAGAACCATTATTTTCGAAATAAAAATTGCACTATTTGCAAGCGTTGTTCAGGCGTGAGTCTACTGGTGATGAATTGCCAAACCAAACTGAGAATAAATCACTTGACAGCTGTTAAATCGGTCGCCATCTTGAACAGTAATGCCCACTTAAAGTTCTATACATCGAAAAAAAAAAACACCCATTATTTTTATAATGGTGTGAATTACAAAAAACTATTAAAAATGACTGTTGAAAACATAGTGCGACAGAATTGAGTATATCTTGTCGAGTCTTCTGTCATTAAAATTCATATAACTGGGTACACCTGAGATTTCTCTTTTATTTTTAATAAACGACCCAAATTTTTTAGGATCTTTTTTAATGTCATATTCATTTTTCAGTAGACAGCTTTTTAGGAGACCCTAATTTCATATTTTATCTTCAACCTAAGGCATTTAAAATGTTGCAATTCTGAGGGACTACCCGTACTTCTGAACCTTTTGTGACATACGGCTTTCTTTTTTATATTATATTTCAATTATGTAAAATAAACGAGCGATGATACTTATTATTAGCTGACTTTATAAAACGAAGAACGTATATGTTAATAATTTCATACAGTTTAACATAATACAAGGAGCAGGCGGACTCAACGACCGATTCATGGGAAAGAAATGACTAGTTCAACTTTCAAAACATATCAAGCGAACATTATCTTTTTTTAAAATTAAAATTACTATTCAGTAACATAGGAAAGTTGTTTTCTATATAAGGAGGAAATTGAAGTGAGGCAAGAATTGCAGGACGATGATCATCTTGCTGAACCAACACCTTGCACGTTCTACCATGTTGATAGTAGTAGCAGGACTAAATCCAAAATTTTAGGTTCATACAGTGCACGAAGATGCTAAGCAATCTAACACATTCATTTTCTGTGCCACTGTTTAAGAAGTCGGAATATGCAGAGATATTGAAATCACCCAAAATACATAAATTTTCGCTATACAAAGTCTCTAAAGAAACAAAACAATCAAATAAGTTTTCGAAAGTGACTGTATTCACAAGTGGAGGCCAAAATAAAAATTTTAAAATAATCAAAACTTGCCCTCACCAGTAAAATTACCACTCGAGGTAGCAGTTCACCTCTGTCGAATTTATCTTAGACGACGTAAGATGTATACTCGAAAACCCCCACCACTTTATCTTAAGTCCAAAAACGAGATTTAGACTTTAAGAATTACTTTTCGAGATATGACCGCCTTAATTGACGGTTTTAAGGGCAAATTTCCAAGCATCAATCAACTCCAACTCACCTATTCGACTCGAACTCCCTGCCGAAGGACCTGCGTTCGGCGGCCTTGTCCTCCCGTTTCTCGGGGCCCCTGCCGAAGCCGAAATCGTCGGCGGAGTCGGATTTGTCCCCCAGGTCCCACGAATCGCGCAGGATGCGCCCGCTCCCAATACGCCGGTTCCCGGACTGCTGAATCTCCCGTGCCCCTAATAAATTCGGACTCGAGTTAAAAAAAAAAAGCGAAACCAATACCTCGATGGGACACTAACCCATGTGGGACGACGGATCCTTTTTACCTAACGGGCTGTGAGCACGATTCTGACGCGCCGTTTCCCGATTGACCGGCACGAAACACCCGGAATTGAAGCTCCGCCGTTGGGGGCTCAGCACGATCCCGTCGTTCTCCTTGCGGATACGATCCCGCGGGTCCCCGGAACGTCGCTGCGCGATCAGACCAATTGTTAAAATATATGGAAAAAAGGTTTTAAGAGCATAGACCCGGAAATGCAAATTTTTTGAAGATACAATGTTTTTTTTATCACAACAAATATTCCCTCGAGTCCGTTGATAATGTTCGGCAATATTTTTCAATTCTTGGGAGGGATACGAAATAGACCTCCAGTGAGATGATTCGTACTAGCTGAGGAGTTGTTTGAACATGAAACACTCTTAATTCTTTTAAAGAAGGCGATAACGAAAACACTCCCCAGGCTGATCTAAATAGAAGTGTTCATCATTGTTAACTTTGTTATGAGTAGAGATACAAAGTCGGTTAAACTAGCAAACTAGAAGCATTTTTTCCACTGATTACTGAAGAACAATTAAATGTAGGGTTTTGGAAAAAATTAGGAAAATGTACTCTTTTTATATAGAACACCCTGTATTTTTTTTTACTCTAACGTTCGTAAATCATAAACAGTGGTTTATTTTTTCTCTTACTGCTCCTTTAAATGACGCCACAAGAAGAAATTAAGTATGATTATATCTGGTGTAGCAATACATTTATTGTTGAAGATGGCTGTCAAAAATTAATGTGTGCCTTGGAAGTTATGCGTTGGTGCACCGTGTTATTGGAAATGGAGATTCTGATGGGGTCAAGCTCATCTGAAAAACCATCCAGAATTTCAGTAATAATTTCAATGTACCACTCACCGGTCAGCGTGCCATCGTAAAAATATGGATCAACAATGCTGATGATGATGATGATTTTTTGGATTATAAATTCGAGAACTGAAAATTTTGATTCGTCAGTCCACAAAATATACCGAAAATTATTTATTTTTTGGAGACAAAATTTAACATACCAATGACAAAGAGTCTTCTCTCTGCATCCCCTGCCAAAAGCACCTGAGCTGGTTGGAATTTATATGGGCAAAATCTGTGTATTTTTTTAAAATCCTTTGGACAGTATTAAAGGATAGGTTACAGTCTTTGACTAAGTCTCGAATATAATAAATTTTGTTCGTCTCCTTTATTTCAAAAACGGTTTCGCAGAAAAAATTGCTCATGCGGTGGAATGCGATGTGGATATAGGCTTATGTGTCGTTCTCTCGCCCTTAAAGACGATTTATTGCATACCAAATAGCATTTTAATATGTCGCACTTTTCTGCATGTGTAAAAACCATTTTTCAATAAGTGGTACAGTAAAATTAATTTAAATTATTAATAACAATTGATATAACAATAATAATAATGAACACAATAAAACTAATTTTGTATTTGACAAGGCTGTCATTATTTGGCAAAGCCTTCTTTGCTTTTTGCTAAAAGCAAACGAAAAAAAATGATTATAAATGAAGGCGTGGAAATTGGTGATCTTGGATATGCTAAAATAAAACAATAAAAATGGGATTTTATTTCGCAACCACTTATAGCCATATATTCCAAAAGAGAAATGTGCTGATAATTCAGTTATTTTCAATTTTAAACTAATATTGTATATGACCTTTTTTGTTCTGTTGGTGATTTACTAACGATAGGTCAAAAAATATGCAGGGTGTTCCGTTAAAAAAAGTACATTTTTCCTATTTCTTTCCTAAACCCTACATTTAAATGTTTTTCTGTTTTCACCATCAAGTGATAAAAAGTTTTTACGAACATGAGCTCGAAAATGCACAGTTTTCAAGACACAATCTTTTTTAACAATTTTCAAACATTTTTGCTAATGTTTCTCAAAGTTTTTTGGTAATAAATCTCAAGTGAGAAGGTGTACTTAACATCATCGTGTTGTAGTGACTTTATGGATGGATGTAATAATTTTAATCTATAAGGGCTAAATTAGACTCTTAACCCATTTATGCCATATCTCCTAGAAAGGGGCTATGATGTAAAATCTTGTAAAGTCGATATTTTGGTAAAATACGGTTTTTTGAGCATAGACGTCGGTATCCAGTATTACGGCACACAACAAGCTGTGTGTGTTTTAATTACGACCGTGAGTACGGTAGTTAGCGCAAGATACTTAGGTATATTTTTTATATTTTTTTATATATTTTTTATATTATTAAACATTATTAGATGTTCGCTTGTTTGGCAGGTTGACAGTTATAATACTATATTTTGGGTAGTGTATACGTTAAGAACATTTTGACGTGTTTCATGGTAAATTTGTCTTTTAAAACAATAGTTATTGACTTCTTTACATTCAATATTAGACAAAATGCGCGATATTTCAAAATCTGTCAAAAGTAACCCTATCAACTCATATATTTGATTTAGAAAAATTGTCGACCTGTCAAAATTTGACAAATAAAATTTTTATTATATATTATTGATTACAGAATCGGAAGGGTTAATAAAAATGCTCCAAGTTTGGTAATTTAAACTTCATCGTGGGATCAATACTAACAACGTTATCCATTTAGTAATTTATAATGGGACATCCTGTACATCCCGAGGAATAGGCGGTTCCTTAAGAGATCTTTTTTTTTGCTTCTTTGTAAAAAAATGTTTTTCTTTTAAACTGCACTTGCTTAAATTACAACCTATTATTTATAATGTATTTATTATCCGTTTACTTGTTATTTTTCTTCTTTTACACCATTGTTTGGGAATGTCTTAAATTTATCAAAAAAAATATTGACGATATAACGAAATGTAATAGAGATACAAAGTTGAGTAAGGAAATATTTTCTATATAAGAGGAAGCCAAAATGTTTGGTACATATGCATACCATGGCATATTAAAGAAACGGAAAGAATTACCGATTCCTGCACTTTGGTTAAAATTAAATATGCTTTATTATCATTTATTTATTATTATTTTTAAGTCTTAACTTACCCTATGGTCGGCCCCGTCACTCGCTTTGGAACCATTCTCGGAAGGCGTCTCCGACTTTTTCCGATCTAGGTTCCACTTCTCGAGCTTCAGCATCGAGTGAGACCTACGAAAGCGACAAACATAAAGCATAAAAACAATGCGAGGCGTATATTTTTGTTTTAAACCTCGATACTTTTTCTATTTTTCAATTAAAAGTACAACTTTTGGCGCAGCGCAAACACCGCCGTAAATGAGCGAATTTATTTCTTACTAAGTGCTTATCAGTAAGTAGGCTTTGATCTGTACCTACTGTGACAATAACCATATTCCTTTTACGCTTGAAAATTAAGCCAATCGAGCTGTCGGTTTGGATACACCGTTTACACAAAAAGTGAACGCAACGAAAATGGGGTTATGCCGAACTAAAAATTCTTAAATGTCAATTATTTATTAACATTCCGGGGGCAATTGGCCCGACCAAATGAAACGCGAAAAGGAAAAGAAGAAGAAGCTATCCGCGGTCTGCCAAAAAGGTTTGTGGCTACGACAATTAAATCGGCGGCTGTGCTTCGTTTAACCGTTGTCGTCAAGATTACTTGATTACCAGATGAAACAAAAGGAAAACAAGAAAAAGCTATCCGCGGTCAGTCAAAACGGTTTGCCACCACGACAATTAAATCGGCCCCGGTGTTTCGTTTAAGGGTAGTGGTAAAGTTTACTTGATTAGTGGGGATACGTACACTTCGGCCGGGTCTAAGAACGGCGGCTTCCTCGTGGAAGCGGGCGACTTGCCGATCTCAATCAGTTCCTCTTTGGTATAGCGAATCTTATCCTTCTCCCTCACGATCAAGATCGCGGGATCTATTTCACCGACGCTCATGCCCTGGATCAGCTCGTCTTCTGAAAGAAAAAGGAAACCATATGAACGACCAAACCATCAGACAGGGCTTGGTCGGAGTGCTTTTATATCGTGATTCACAGCACTTACAAGAGCTTTTCCTAATGTAAGTGTAATGTAATATCCGCAGCTTAGCTCTTTTTATCCCCAAATATGAAGAAAAGAATGTAATTCTCAAAACAAGTTGGATAAAACGCTAATAAAATGGTATTACTTATGTTTATTATTCTTTTTGCAATATATTCCAATGGCGCGAAATGAGCCGAAATTTTTATATTGTGACATGCTTAGCTGTTTTAAAATATTTAGCATTACCACTTATTTTTTCATAAAAAATTAATTTTAATCACTAATTGGCTCACTAATCAATTGTTGCCAATTAACTAAGTTTATTTATTATTGACGGATTAAAAAAAAAGAATAAAAAAATATCTTTTTTAATTATCAAGATCGCCGTGATAACAAATGTTTTTATCTGACCAAACGCTACACGCACCTTTTATTTCGTTATTCGATGCATGTCAAAGTCTATTGCCTACCGTTTTGATATGTTAAATATTTATTGCAACCCACTGCCTAGAAGAAATCGACTCGTTAGGAACGAAATAAAACATTATTATTTCAACACTTGCTACTTAAATAATTGTCTGACGAACCTAATTAAGTTATAATTTATAATAATTTAAAAAAAAACGTAGTAATGTCTACTACGGAGTAATTTAGTGCCCGTCGAAGGTATTGTAAAAAAATAATAGATATAAATAATAACGTTTTATTTTTTAAATACCATTTGGCATCCTAAATAATCAATAAGCGTGTTGTATGCTATATTCTGGATAATTGGACATAAATAACAACCCGGAAAGTGCAAAACTATTCAAAAATAAAACTTTTTGAGCGTTAAATCCTTGTATTCATATGTTAGGTTAGTATAAAGATATTTAGATGCTGTTTTCACTGAGGACCCTTATTTGACTTTGACTATCTAATGACTTCGTTGCGTAAATTTTTTTTTCAGATTTTGTTTTTGCGGTTTGTCGGAAGCTCCATCTGGTGGCACTAATAGCAGGATTCATACCCTAAGAAGGCTACCATGTTTATTAAATTGAATCGCACCTTTTTGAGGTAGAATAGACTTACTAATTCCAACATAGCAAGGGGAAGTCTGGTCACGAAAAATAATATGTATAAATATTTTTAAAAACTCTCTGAATGACAAATTATATAAAAAAGATGATGAAATATGTTCATGATCATCAAATCAATACATTATTTATTAACCAATCACCAGTGAGAACAAACAACACAAGACATAAAAAATCACAGTGACACCAGAATCACGACCATGTCAAACAGTCTTGACATATTTGTTAGTTACTTTCAAATGCGGAAAAACGCGATATGTTACCTATTTTAAAAATACATGAATGATTATGCGTTTGTGATGTCCAATTTACCACCACTCAGAAAAAAAAAAGTTTTAAAATGCACAAAAAATCGTATTGTAATAAATTAACTCTTTCCTACAATTTAACTAATAAAAATAATTTTTAGGTACGTTTGAAAATACTTTTTTTATATTTTGATTAATTTGTTTATAATTTATTAGTTTGGTTACTTTAAAACATCAACGATTTTCTTTTTTCCTATATTAATGTATTTATTAATTGTTTATTACAAAGTTCGTTTCATTTACAGTAAGACTGATATTATTCATTCAATGTCGGGGCAAATTTGCCTGGAACTAAAAAATAAGACCTTTCTAGTCTAAGGATAACAGAAGACTTTCCTTACACTTTATCATGATGGCTTCTTTGTTTTAAATCTATTGCCCGTTTAAATTGTTATTTTAAACATTTAAAATAATATTTTATGATGCTTTGAATGGTTTTCCTTTCAATCCAAATGCAGATAATACTTTTGTTTTAATAAGAATAAGTAATAAAAAATATCATGCACATTTTAGTTTCAAAAGACATTATAGAATCATATAGCACCATCGAAGCAAAATCGTATTTAATTATCATCAAATCGTTAGCGTTTTTTTAATTTTACATTTTTTTCTCTGAGTGTACTCGCCATTTAATTTGGATGACCAAGGGTTGGAGAAAGGTATTAGTTAGTGAGGAGTAGAAATTTATTATCTTCGGTAGTCGTGCTGCTCAGTTCATACATCGGCCCGAGAAGAAAAGGCTTGACCCCAAGTACGTTTCTGGTTTGGGGTTTGCCTTTAAAGTTTATATTCCCGTACGATAACGATCCCAAGCACACTGCAAGAATAATTAAAGAATGATTTACTACAATTTTTTTTAAATGGTCAGCGCAGTCGAATCGTTGAAAAAAAATCCGGTTAAAAAATCTCAAATAGGATCAATTATGATAAGAAATCCAAAAAATTTGGAAGTCTATATACGATGAAACAATTTTAAATTTGATATCCACGATGCTAAAAACATGCCAGCGAATTATTGTGAATAAATGATACTGGATCAAATACTGACTTCCAATTAATTAATTTGTCACCATAGACTTAATATTAGGTTAGTCGCTTTAATTTTGTCGGGGTAAACACGAACTTGTTATTTAATTATATAATTATACACATACTATTTTTTTAAAGAGGTATATTCATTAAAATTTGTTGATTGTTCATACCAATATGTACTTACAACATGTAACTTTTTCCAGAATGCGTTATAATTTCTTATGTATATTCTGGGAATATTACTTTGCTATGGTTACCACTACATATTATTGCAGAAGCTGATTAAAGATAACAACCACGCCCTCTGGTGGCCATTTCAGGAACCCGAAATTAATTAACAGATTAACTAATAGAATAACATCCCTCACCCGGACACCCTGTATATTGTTTCACTTACTCCAAGATACTTTTTTCACTCGCGTTTTTTGCTGCAGGTGCTGCGCTGCGGAGGGGTGAAAGGGCGCGACCCGGGCCTTGACCCGCTTCGAACCCCTCGTTTTCGCCATTTTCGCAATATATAAAATCACGGGGACACACACACGCACGCACACGATAAAGACGTAAAAGAAAAAACAAACAAAAATTTCAAACTGCAACGCAATCCGTTAATAGCGAGTCGGCAAATGAAATTTACCACGATACTAGTAGCTCAAAAGGGCACGTCCGAAAATAGCAAACGGACGTTTAAAAATGTCCGATGCGAATAGAGCGATAAAGGAATCGACAAAAAACCGTTAAACTTTTTTTTAGGGGGAAAAAACCGAAGATTTCGAATGGTCTACGCTCGGACATTGATATCCCCCTAATGTACTGGATGTCTCGTTTTGGAGCACTTTTGCGGAAGTATCCGTTAATTGTATCTATAGAAAGTTGAGGTTTTCGCGACAGTGTACCGCTTTTTCGTAAAACTAAAAATGCAGTTAACAACACTTTTGAACACTTTTAGCATCGAAAACAGACCTAGCTGGGTGAATAACGAAATAAGGGAATACTCAAAATATATTGGAAAATTATATATTAAATACAAAAGAACAAATCGCAATAAAGATCTTCTATTATACAGAACTGTTCATAATTGTCAAATCTTTGGTTATGGTTCGATTTTGATTTTTTTTTGTAATTACATCAACTTGACGACATGGCCAACTGAGACTCATTTTTGCCAAATACCGAGAAGGGCTATTAGGGATTGTTTTGAACATAATTCCGTTTATAACAAATATTAAATATAGGAAAAAAGAAAATCGTTGATATTTTGGTAAATTGGACATCACAAACGCATAATAATTTATTATAAAATACATATAACGTACAATTGTTATTTAAAATATTTTGATCAAATTTAACTAGTCAATTAAGAAGTGGTCATTTGAGAAGCCCCAACACTAGTCCTGAATAAGATTTCGTTGACACTTTATTCTTAAAGAAATCCCTAACATTGAACTGATGTGGCTTTTACTTAAAAAATAAAATAAATAAGAACTAAAAGTTCAGATTTTCACGAAATTATATATTTGACATGACAAGTATTTCAACAACACCGTGTCTTTATCAAATGTGATCAAATTTGATAAAGACACGGTGTTGTCGAAACAACTTTTAGTTCTTATTTATTTTATTTTTTAAGTAAAAGCCACATCAGTTCAATATTAGGGATTTCTTTAAGAATAAAGTCAACGAAATCTTATTCAGGACTAATGTCTGGGCTTCTCAAATGACCATTTCTTAATTGACTAGTTAAATTTGATCAAAATATTTTAAATAACAATTATAGAGTGATACCATTATTTACTAATATGTATTTTATAATAAATTATTATGCGTTTGTGATGTCCAATTTACCAAAATATCAACGATTTTCTTTTTTCCTATATTTAATATTTGTTATAAACGGAATTATGTTCAAAACAAATTATTACTTCCTTATTACAGAGAGACGTTTTTCCGTTCTCACATAATCAAAAGATTACTACATGAAAGAAACATGAAATATTTTGAGGGCGGTTGGTTATTACTTCTAAAAGATTTCTTTAACATTTTAAAAAGATAAGAGGGTCTGCTGTCATGTTGTGTGCCGTTTTTGTAACCGTTTTCTTGTTGGGTTTTAGTAATTTTTATATGGACTGTATATAATTAAGCATTACCAAATAGTGCAACCAACAAGACGTGAAAGATCACACCTAAACATTCTTAGTAATTTTCTTTCATTTTATTATCAATAGGTAGGATTGAAAAAAATCAGTTCGTTTTATTTAAAGTAAGACTGATATATTAAAACAAAAACATTATATTTTATAAGAAAACCTGTTTGCCTAAAACTAAAAAATAGGACTTTCTAGTCTAAGGATACCATTTGTGACGGTTTCATATTTTAATGGTAAAATTTAGCATTTTTAAAGTACAAGTGCTGGCACATTTGCGAAGTAACGGGTTTATTTTGTTAGTACCTTGTAGAATTAATTGTACTGTCCATTTCCTTCACCTTTTGCTGTTTGGCAAGTGCTTCTTAACAATTAA